ATCGTTAAACCATATAAAATTTCATTCCTTTAAATTAGAGTCAATTACTGCACAAAGTTGATTAACATATCGTTTTAAGAAGCAATGACATGCTCATATAGTAAAATGAATACTAATTGAGTCTTCAAAATGGAATTACTCATATCAAAAAACATAAAATCGAAGTAAAGAATTCAACACTTAAGCCTTGGAGATATCAAAAACAAAATTTATTAAATCACATAGCACAAAATTGGAAACATCTCAAATCTTATACTCTCTCTCCATTCTTAAAATACTTGTAACATTTATCTATTTTATATCTTATGGAAAACTAGCAACATTTTCTACTTTGGAATATATCACCATCATTTTTGCTCTCTAATTATTAACCCCAATTGTACTACTTTTTGTTGTTATATCTTTTGAACTCGTTTGCACAATCTTTTATTGTTTAACTCCCAACAAACAATTACAAAACCTTAATCAATTCCATGCCACTTGGCCCGAGCTAAGGATTTGGTTGCAATTTTTAAAAGTCCAAAGCTACTAGCTAGATTAATCATTAGAGGTTAAAATGAAAATTAGCTTGGCCAACCAAATTAGCTTAAATTGCTTTATCGTCTAGCAAGCTAATTTGCTTGAAAAAAAAGATGGAGATCCAATGTTAGCCAACTACTTGTATTTATTAACATATGGAAGACAATTAAATAGCAAGTTAATAGCTAACCACTTAGACACAAATTTGCTCATGATTTGATGTTTCAATGCAAGCTTATTTGACCATTAACTTGCTATTGAATGCTCTAACCTTCTAAAAAATTAGATGCAAAAATTTGATTTTTTTCAAAAAAAGGTAAGAAAAATAATCATTAGATCAACAAAACGTAGGTGTTGCAAGTCTTGCGATTATCACAAATTCACCAAAAAGACGGGTGTACATTAATTTATTTTAAGACGGGTTATAGTTATATTGAAAGTATCTAAAGTTACACTTTATACTACAAAAGTTATTATTTTTTCAAATAATAAATTTTATTGTACGAAAAAAACTTATAATGTATCAGACTAATCATATAATATGCAATCATGAATCTTTAAGAAATTATACTTTAAAATAAAATTCAAAACAACAATAAATTAAAAGTTACTCTATAAGTAGTTAAATTCACTATAAAAATAATTAATGGTACCTTTAAACGGAACATTTTACAATAAAATTATTGTACATCCGCCTTACACGTGACTCTTTGTGCGAGTATTAAGGATTGAATATGCTCTATAGTACTGTATAATCTTATCTATGATCATCGTCCTAATCAGCTTTTGGACTTTTCCTTACTCAGTAATCCATTTTTTAATGTAACTCCATTTTTCTTCTCTACCCTTCTCCCTCCTACAAATTCCAACTCTTCTCTCTCCTCTAAAAAACCTTCATCTTCAATTCTTCAACATCATTAATGGCTTCCGCAAAACCCTACCTCACCATTTTCTCTCTCCTCTTCATCTTCACCATTTCTCTCTCCTCAACTCCATCCTTCTCTCAATCTCCAACTCCTCCTTCCGTCTTCGATATTCTCCCCATATTCGGCCTCCCAAGCGGCCTCTTACCCAACTGCGTCAACAACTACACTCTCTCTCCCGATGATGGCGCTTTCGTCGTTGACCTCGACACTTCTTGCTACATTCAGTTCGATTATCTGGTTTACTACGAGAAACGCATCACTGGAACCCTAAAAATTGGGTCGATTACTAATTTGAAAGGAATTCAAGTTAAACGATTCTTGTTTTGGTTTGATGTTGATGAAATTAAGGTCGATTTGCCTCCTTCCGATTCGATTTACTTTCAGGTTGGTTTGATTAACAAGAAGCTCAATGTTCATCAGTTTGAAACTATTCATTCTTGCCGTGATTCCGTTTCTGCTGCTCGCGGCGGTCACCTTCGTTCTTGGAGCTTCGAGGTATTAGATTTCTTGCCTTTTTTCTTTTGATTGTTATGTTTTGATGTTTCGATTGTAAATTAATCTAACTTTATGAGCAAGAATTATGATATTATTGATTTAGGAATAAGCTAATTATGTTATGAATTGTGATTTTCTATAGCTGAATTTGATAGATTATCTATTATATTGATCAAGAACCATGTTTGTAAACTTGGCAATTGATAAATCAATGATTCCCAATTATTCATCTTAGTCAACTCTATCTTTTGCTGATTTGTCAAATTTAGTTGTTTTAGTCAAACAATGGGAAAAACGAAAAAGACTAATCTAGTGGGAGAAAATAAGATGTGAAATTGTCGTTACTAATTTTTGTATTATTGGCGTCATTTGTTGACCTGAGTAATCAATTTTGTAAGGTTGTGTCTTTTTAATTTTATCACAGCAAGATTTGATTTAAGCTTAATAGCTGTAGTTAATTACACCATTGCCAATTGTAGAACTTGATTCATGTCAATCATCGGACTCCGCTTTGGCGCTTTGTGATTTGAGGAAATTGTTATGTGTTTATGCTGATCATTTTTGCTTGGTTGAAGAGTATGGAATGACATTATGTCCTCTAATGTTCAATCTTGCAATGCAAAACTATTCTGAGAGATGAACTTTTATACTGACAAAGTTCCTGCTTATGGTGTCTTGATCATATTTGTTAGAATTCAATAGCTATTATAAGAGGCATGTCTTGTACTAGTCTCTTGCTCACATTCGAGGCATATGTGTTGGTGTATAGGTTGTCATTTTGTGGTGTTTTCTGCTTAAAAGTTAAAACTGTTGTTACCAACTCATTACTCATACTTACCAGAGAGTAGTTTGCCAAGTATTCGCACTATTGGTGACTTGGTACTTATCTAATGTTGCTTCTTTCTTATTTTCACCGTAGCAATACTTTGATCCGTGCTTAGGGCCCAAAATACTCCAATAAAATTGCTAATTGAAGAACTTGTTTCTTGTAACTTTCTGATTTGTGTGTTATTGTGACTGCTCGTGATAGGATTAAGACCTCTAAATTTATGGAAACTTAGATAATATATAGGCCAAAGTTTTAAAAGGATAGCATTTGTGTGGTAATGTAGTTTGTTTGTTTGCATAATGTGGTTTGGCATTCCGTTCCCAAAAAGTTTAGAATATCCAATATAAATCTATTGTTGTAATTATAAATGCTAACAAAGACCCTACTCTTGACAATCCTTCAAAAGCATGTCTCTCTTACTAAACATTGCAAGGATGTGGGCTGGTAGTGAGGCTGCCTTTTATATGTTATTTTTCTGCTTGAAATTGCTAAGAACTTACTGCATGGTAGTCTGGTGGTTCTTGCATATTCTGCTTGCATGGGTATTGCTCCATCAAGGTAAATTAACATGGTCAGTTAGGGAAAATTAAGCGAAGTTGCCTTATTGAGCTCTAGTTTCCACTGGTATTTCAAAATTTAACTTGAAGATAGTACTGGGTATTGTAATGTTAGTTATATAGTCTTGCTTGATTAAGATAAAGTGCTAAGAGTTAGTTTGGCACCGTTTTTAGATTTTTTTTTTTATGTATTTTAAAAACTGAAAACTGATTATGGTTTTTGGGTTTCAATTTTTTCGAAACTGTTTTTGTTTGTTGGTCCATTAATAAAGGTATAATAAAAAATAAAAAAAACCATTAAAACTAAACCCAAATTCATCAACTGATTCCTCAATTTCAACAACAAAAAAAAGTTTCAAGCAGTTCAATTTACAACATGGTATAATTATTCCACATGCAATATATTTTACACTAATTGATGATGATCCGTTTATTTCAGAAAAAATATCCAAAATATAAAAACCCAAAAAAAATTGAATCAATAATAATGACGAAGAACCCTAAATATTGAAATTCAAGTGTATAAAAAAAAAAGATAAACAAATTTGATGAAAAAATCGAATACAAACCAAATTTACCAACCAAAAGATTAATAGATTGACACAGTAGAAAGAGCTAAAGATGGAAGAAGGTTGGTGACTTCAAAGGAATTAAAAGAAACAGAAAAAGGAGAAGCCTCCATGCCTATAATTCCTCACTCCTTGAATCTTGGGAATAATTAGGGTTTGATGAAAATGATGGAGATAGAGGAAGGAGATACGACTAAATTTTTACCGCATTTTAATTCTAATCTATAAAAAAAAAACATTATCGAAATGGATCTTGTTAGATTCGTCTCATTATGAACTTTTCAAATATGTAATTTTCATACTTTTTTGTAATACACAATTAACGATTCATTAATAAGTAAATGATAATTATAAGTTCTAATCTGGTCTAATCTGAACGTTTCTGGTGTGGCTGATCTGAATGTTTTTGGTTTGGTCTCTGAATGTTTTTGGTCTGGTCTGATCTGATCTGAATTTATTATGGAATAAGTAATAAGTACCTGAAATAAGTGTTGAAGAGAACATGTCTTTAGTTGATGCTTAGTGTTGTGTTGTATGATTGATAGAATATTCTGCAGCTTAATTTTTGTGTAGTGATTTTCTTATTAAAATCATTCTCTTATCTTGCCTTATTTTATCTGCAGCTTCCACCTCCTATTGATGGAGATATCCCGATGTTGCTGACCGAATAAAATGCATCACTTATCAGTGATGAATGAAGGCACAGAGTGCTTGTTTTCCCCATAGTCTAATAGCAGAAGCTGAGATGGCCTTTGCCGTAAGACGGAAGTTTGGTCTCCGGCTGCTTAAGATCAAGTATAATATGTACATGACCCATGGCTTACACTTGTGCTATTTGGTGTAGAATTCTTCTCTGATGAAAGTATCGGAGAAAATGTAGCCTAGTAATACCCACTACCTACTACCTAGAATATATGTGTAATATTGTAAAACAATCCTGTGATGGATATTTTCGGCATCCTGGAATCTACTATTTCGTACGTGTTATCTACTTAGATTGAGTTTCTGCCTCGCTTTTAACTTTGTGGCTCATCTCTTAATATACCAGGCTAAATTCTGTTTCTAAGTGTACAATTTGGGATTCCTTTATCTCACAGCTAAGGGATAAGAAGGCCATGCTCTTTAGAAAAAAGTGGCCATTAACTTACAGTATTAATTAACTCAGCATTGACTTGCAGTATTGAATTTATTTAAAAGTCTATACCAAACTTACCCAAAAATCATAAGCTCGTGGATCACGGGGAAGCTGTCACCCTCAATCCTCATCTTCTGTGTTTTACATTATCCAATCCCTTTCTTTGAAACATATGGTCCAGTCCAAGCATGGTTTTCTTGACCATCTTTTCTCTCCTCTCCCTCATCATGTTCCTCTTCCAGTCCCCCCAACTCACGGCGACAGCCATCTCCATCCATGAAATTCTCCCTTCATTCGGGCTCCCAAGGGGCCTCTTACCCGACGCAGTCAAGAACTACACCTTCTCTGCTGAAGATGGCAGCTTCATGGTGGAACTTGAAAAGCAGCCTTGCTATGTGCAGTTGGATGAGTACTTAGTCAGCTACGACGAGCTCATATTAGGTACCCTCAAGCTGGGATCAATCACTAACTTGGAGGGAGTTCGGGTGAAGTGGTTATTGCTATGGCTCAAACTTGATGAGATTAAGGTTGATTTGCCTCCTAATGATAACATTTACTTGCAATTTGGTCTTGTCAACAAGAAAGTTGATGTTCATCAGTTCCAGACCATTCATTCTTGTAGTTCTCGGCATTTGTGGATGTTCAAGGTACATTCTTTCTCAAGTATATCAATTTGCCAAAAGTTTCTTAAATTATTGATATACTTGAGATCAAACTGTTATTGTGTTAGATTGGTGCTCAATCTGTTGGTTGATGACTAGGTGTAATAATGCCTGCCCTTGCTTCTAATCGTCGTGTAAAATGTGAATCTGTCAAGTTGTTGTTAAGGTCAAATTTTTAGGCCGTGTATCTTGAATGCGTCTCATTATTTATTACATACATACTCATAAAAATTTGCCCACTTTATAGACTCGGTTAGAATAATGTACGAAAATTGTTCTTTAAAAAATAACTTGTCGTGTATGTTAAAAAGAAAAGTGACTTGTCATTTAAAAATTATTCTCTACCTTCTAATTTACTTGTCAATTTTTTAGTTTAATTAATGACTCGTTTTTCTTGATGGCTAGGTGCAACGGTTTCCAACTCAAGTTGATGAAATGCCAAATTATGTTATTGAATGAATAGTGTCAACTACTTCTTAAAGGGTGTATTAATCAGATATTCTAATGCATGTGCTTTTATATACACTTAATAATTCGCTCATTTAATAAAATGCATATGAAATCTTTTGCCCACTTTTTAAAGCGACTTTAGATAATGAAAAAGAAGTGTATAGGTTCAATATTCTATACATCGTACAAATGCATTTTAAGTTTAATAATTATTGTATTAATATCTAATTGATCATATTATAAAGCGATTTTTTTGTATGCAAGTATATCCAGTAATTCAGAGCCTACTAGACTCACTAATCTAGATTAGAGCTGCAATAAGCATCTCCCGGGAAGAAAACTCTCTTAACAACTAGATTTGCTCAAGTACTTGATACCTAGGTTAAACTAGAACAACTTTGTATCAAACTACCGATTGACCTATGCACTCTTTGATATATTAAAACCGATTGATGTCATGAATAAGATATTTTTATAGTGGAGTAAAACAACAAATAAAATATTGTATCCAAGATTATTGACACCAAAACTTGATCTACCTTAACATAGCGTATAAGCAAGCCCTGTGTCTACAGTAGTCAACACTTGTTACATATTTCATGCCTCTCTAACCTCTCTATCCATGGCTGCTCTTTCATGGAGTCCTCTCCCTTCAATCTCTCTCCTCATCATCCTTTCTCTCTCCTCCCTCTGCATCTCTAATCCTGACCATCCATCCAACCCCATCAACGGCTCACAAGACATCCATGACATCCTCCCAGAATTCAACCTTCCAAAGGGCATCATCCCAGATGGAGTCAAGTCATACACCCTCTCTAATCAAGACGGAAGCTTTACTGTAAATATGGAACACCCCTGTTATGTCAAATTCCTCGACGAACAGCTCGTGTACTATAACAAGGTCATCAAGGGGAAGCTCAGTTATGGTAAAGTGTCCCATGTTTCTGGAATTCAAGCCAAGAAGCTCTTCATCTGGGTCCCGGTTTCGGGTATGGAAATGGATACGGACACTGGTATGGTTGAATTCTATGTTGGAGCTTTCAGTCAGAAATTTCCTGCTCAACAATTTGAGGCTATACCCTCTTGTATGAAAAAGGAAGCTTCCTCTACATCAATTATTAAGTCAAGATCATTCTGGGTCAACAACTACAACTTTCTTTAAATCCTATCTTTCTATTTCCTGCCTGAGTAATCTTACTGTACTTTATTAAATTTAATAAGGAAATTATTTAACTTTGTTTTCAATGTAGATTTTCCATTGATAAGTTTGTGCTTTTGCTTATTTATCAGTCACAGGGTAAATTTTCTCGCCTAGTGGTGTCATTGCGAAACAGCTTCTCAACTGTTGTAGAGGTAAGGTTGTATATAATTAAAATCCATAGGTCATAGCGCCTGTCTAGGAGGCATATGGTAAGATTTTGAAGACTAAGATTGGCTCCCTTCCATCCAACCATAACATAGTCCTCCTTTTAAATGGAACCATGGCTATTATTTCTAGACGAAAAGAATATCCGACTCTCAATTATCGTTGCAATCAAACTAGCCCTTGAACCTCCAACGTACAACTGTACAAGTATTATTTTACTCATACAAGATGCACTGTCCTGAACAAACTTTGGGAACAAAAATCGAACTTCTTGCATCTGCGACAGCATATACCTCATTTTTCATGATATGGAGTACTAAAGATACGAGGATTGGAAGAATATAGACTATGCATGTATTATTTATCATGACAATGTTTAAAAGAAGAGACCAGTTTTAAGCAATTCAACATGATATTCACAAAAGCATCTGCAGAATCACTGCATGGATTTTTTGTTTGTTTTTTAATGTACTACTACAAAGACCAAAGTCTTAAGAATTCTGCAAACTGCAGATTTCAGCCTACAGGATTAAGATTTACATATCCATTTGAAACCAGCAACTACCTCAACAAATAGAACTGATAATTCAATGAGCTGCAAAGTCAATACTCCACAGAGGAAGACATGAAACACTAGCTGGAAAAAAGGCGAGCTTTTGCTTACTTTTGGGGTGCCGTTCTGCTTTCTTCAGATATGGCCGGTTGCAAAATTTCTCTTCACAATTTGGAACAAAATATACAATGCGAAGGTAAGCTATATGTCACAGTCTCACAGAAGACAAAAGCAATGAAACAGCCCTTCTGATAGGATGAGCAGCAAAAAATTGGGTTCTTAAGCAGAAAGAACCTCGAATGAATTTGACAATAGAATCTATAACACCATAAAGTGAATGAATTCTAATACCAGAAGCGAGGTATGCAAGTCATCCATATATTCTCATGCTTGAAGCACCTGGCAATGCACAATATGACTCTTTAAACCACTGCGGCCTGCTATGCTCGACAATATATTAGTGACCATCGTCCTAAAATGACCTTTCCCACCAACATTCTCCCACAGATGAGGATTACTCTCCACATGTTTATCAGGGCTTGAGACATCAACCAGACTGATACTCATGTTATTTCGGATAATGCAAAGCTTACCATTAAGAGGAATGAGTGCAGCAGCCTCTAAAGCCCGAGAACTCCCAAGGTGGAGTTTACTATCAATAAATTTGATCCATGAATCAGCTGCCTCGTCATAGACTCTAAGCTTGCATCCGTCCCTACAATCTATAGAATAAAGCTGGCCATTCATGGTGGTGCTCGGATTTCTCCAACTTGAAACCATCCCATCATTCACAGGGTTCCAGCAGCTATTCTCAGGATCATAGGATTCACTCATGACCTGGCGATGAGAGCCTAGTCCCTTTAAGTACCACTTTCCATTGTACACCACCCCGATGAAAGGGACCATCCCTGTGCTCATGTCTGTGATGGAACTCCACCTGTTCCTATTTGGGTCATACACCTCTGCTGAACGGAGAGCCCGTTGGATTCCTTCACATTCACCACCAGCCACATAAAGGCAGTTATCAATTACACAAGAGCCAAAGCAATGGCGCCTCCTAAGCATGCTTGGTGCTGGGTGCCATTTATTTGTCCTTGCGCTATAAAAGACAACACGTCTCATGGAACCCCTGAGCGGATCTTCACCTCCAAATAAGTACAGGTGGCAACCACTTAGAACAGCACATCCAAACCCTCTGGCTTCAGAATACTCTACAGGAACAGGCGGAAGTGGTAGCCATACCTGATAAGTTGGATCAAAAGCATGCCATGAAATCTTTCCATCACGGTCCCTCTTCATGACATATACCCACTCTTCTGCCATACCCAGGTTTTTCCTGAGAGAATAGTAGTAGTTTCCAGAGAGGAGTCGGTGCCATCTTTTGCAAACTAGGCGGAGCTTTCGGTGTTCTACTCGGGGGACTCGGATAAGACAAGCAATGGCAAGGTCATCAGGGAGGCCAGGCAAGAGAGGTGGCTGTATACGGGTCCTCTCCCTGCGAGAGTTTTTTGTCTTATGGGCACGAGGATTTATATCTGGCTGGATACAGATCTTTGATCCAGGAACAAATCTCCTTGCACCTACAACCGTTTTTAAACTTGCATCTACCTTGCAGTAGCATGACACAGAGTCAACCTGGAAATTTGTTCACAAATGAGAATCCAAGAGAGAGATGACAGCAATTTTTTTTAAGGCATCTATTCCCTAACTATGAGAAATTTGCACATTAAACAATTTTAAACTATTAGCAACCAACAATAATGAAATATGAGAAAGTTACTTGTGTTATAGGAATAATTTAGTACTTGGTATGCTTTCTCATAGGGAAAACACTTCATAAACTCTTCAATATCTGTTAGCTCAACCATGAAAAAACTTACTGGAAGGCAATAGCTGAAGACGCATGTTATTGCTAAGATTTCTACCTATGGATGCGGCATTTTAGCGAAGAAAACCTAATCAGTTGCAATTGATTTGGATAGTGCACCAATACCTAACAAGCGGCCATAAGGCCCATAATTTGTCCAGTCTTGCTTGATATAAGAAAACCACGACAGATAGTTGTGCCCATAAGTAACATAACAGAACACTGAAATCAAAATTTGAGAAATCTAGCCATAGCATTTCTAGTCCCATAATATTACAGGGAAAATTAAATGAAAGCTAACATACTAGTAACTGACTGCCAAAGTTTACCTCAGGTTCTTCACAAAGCCCAAATGCCCAATTTAAACTGAAGGGGGACAATAATACTGTAGCAGGTGGAACATTTAATGCTGTTAAATGATTTGAGAACAGGGCTATCTCAGTAATTCATTGCTGCAAAAGGGAGTGGTTGCAGATTGATTATGACCATGAAGGTCTACCCAGGTGAAGGTTCAACAAGAAGATTATGTTTGAGAGTTTTTACAGTATCATAAGAATCACATGACAACTAGAAAAAAATTGCTGGGCTTGATGCTATTGACTGTCATAAGTGCTCCTTGAACATCTCCAGAGAAGCGTTCACAGATTTTTGGATGCAACAGCATGAAAATAAACTGGGAAACAGCTTAGAAGCTGGACTGGGAAAGAAGTGGACCCTTAACTAGTTCAGACACAGGCTACTGGAAGCTTATAAGCTGGAAACTAGGAAACGGCTTTATTTTTGACCCAATTACGAGATCCATGCTGGCTATCATAAGCTTGCATGCAACAGCATAAGATGAATACAAAGTAGTTTCTGTCAAATGCATCAATAGTCAGTAAACTCAGTACGTTCCAATCTTATTTTCCCGTGTATAAAGTCAATTTAAATATAGAGCTTAGGCAGCATTCGCAGCAACTTTGCATGAAATTCGTGCTAAATTGCAATGTCAGTTACCCTCTCTCTTGATCCCCATCAACCATCACTGCTTTTCCAAGTAACTACTTAGACTCTAAAAACCTCTAATGTCCAATGAAATCAAACTGTTCGTTCACAAAATTATATCAAGAAGAAGCAAGTTTCTCCTGACATTAGATTAAACATAGAGAAATAAGGGTGACTCAGCATTCATGATTGAGAAATAGTAGAAAAGCACAAAAAACAGCTTCTCGTGATATTAAACGAGAAACTTGGAGAGCACATTCTTCCTCCAGAAATGAACTTTTCCTTTTTTTCACAGTGGGGGCAGGTTGAAGAAGTGTGTTGCGCAAGAGAGGTGGGAATGAGATCCATAGCTTAAGTTTTATCTTTTGCGTTCAGCTTTTTCCAGCCACAAAAGTCCTTGTTTAGCCTATAGAACAAGTACGAAGGAAAATTTTCATTATTCTTCCTCAATTGACTCCAACGAGATGTGTGCGAATCATACCAGGAGATATTCTAGCATCAATTAGTGCAATAACTGCCCCTATTGTTCGAAGTTGATAGTACTCTCTGAATTTGCTTCAATTATTATGGCCTTGTTTGGCAATTTATAGTAAGGAGTAGCCGTTATAATTAGCAGTATAAGTTTTGTTGTAGGTGTTAAAGTAGGAGTCATCATTTCAAAAATAATGTTAGACAAAATTCTAACTTGTTCTTAGCATTATCCACTTTAACATTTTGGGTCTAGATTAAAAATTACCAAACAGAAAAACAAAAATTTAACTTGGTCAAAATGCTAGTACTACTATTAAGAATGCTATTTGCCAAATATGGCTGTATTGTCATCAAAGTCCTGGTGAGTGTGTTTAACTATCTCGCTAAAATGTGATACAGTTCACTGATCTAGCATCAAAATCAAGAAGTTTTTTACCAAGAAGAAAGATTAAAAGAGACAAACATCATCACAATCGTGTAACACGACCCAATTCATTATTCTTGGTACCCAAAATGTTACACTCTCATACTCTCATAGCTTGTTAGTCATCTAATATTCTTACATACAATGATGTATTACATCCTAATGTGTAGTTATGGACTTGTGAAGTGTCAACTTAGAAGCTTCCTACAGAGATTTACCAAGCATTTCTAAGTTTTCCATCACTCCATTTAAGGCACTATTGGTACAGATGTGTGTAGCACGGGTATGTCAAGGTAGCGCCAAGGCCCAAGGGATCGATTCAGAGAATAAGGAACAAGGCTTTTCACCTTCTCTTTGGAAAGGGAGGGGGTGTGGGGGAAGCATGCAAGATAAATTGTACACATTGGAGAACGAACTCAAAATTGAACAATTTAAAGGTTCATTAAGTATAAATTATTTTAGCATTCAAGCACCAATTCCCTCCCTTATCATACCCCCCTCACGAAAAGAAAAGGGAAATGTAAACATTTCAACACCGAGAACAATATCCAGTAAATTGCAAGTACCTATGTATATTTGAGCAATAAAGAGAATCTAAAAGAAGTAACAAACCCTGTCAAAAAAAAAAAAGAGTAACAAACCATCAAAAATTGCATAACCTAAGTCCTCAACCCCAAAATATAAGTTACCTAGATAAAAGGGTAACCTTTTCTAACCATTTATCAACACACAACAGCCATCAAATTCCACAAAATTTACCCAACAAAATTCCACACAATTCAGCAAAACAAAATCCACAAAATTGCTGATGATTATATATATAATTTTTTTATAAAAAAAGAAAGTTTACCAGGGGAGCTTGAAGACGAAATCCCCTCGGCGCATTTGGCGATTCTTCAGCACCTCGTTCCATATCCAGAATTCAGGAGCACAAATTTCATAAAATCTGTAAAAACAATAAATTTGCTATCTTTTTTTACCAAAAACAAAATCCCAGAAATATAATAACAGATCGAGTATAATTTAAGCTTCAAAGTACAAATCTGATCCAACCCCAGATAATAAAGACAAACAATTGGACCTCAACTAAACCAACCCAACTTTTATTTTCCCCTAAATTTCACTGCAGATGCAAACAAGAAGAAGAGGGTTTCAAAAAACTGAACTTTCTCTCTCTTAAATCAACTACAACCCCAGAAAAAAGGGGTAGCAATGCATAACTGAAGATATTATTACAGCTGGGGATCACCCACCTTACAATAACATCAGTATTTTTACCATAATTCTTGACTTTTTTAAAAAAAAAAAATTGTGAAAAAAAATGGTGGGGGTTGGACTTTGGAGGAAGAAAAAAGTGTGAAATTAGGCTTGCTATTTGAATGCAAGATTTTGAGTAGTATACTCTTTCTAGTAGAGTATAGTCGTAGTATGATTAATGAGTAAAATTAATTAAACTAGTTGTAAGAGAGAGAAAGTAGGAGGAATATAAGGTATTTTAATTAATGAGATGTTAATAAATAATCTTCGACTACTCTCCAACTACTACCAGAAGAGAAAACGAAGGTAGCTAGTTTGTCATCAACAATATTAGGTCCCTAATATTTGGTTAAAAAAAAAAAAAAAAAAACATTATTTGGTCCCTAATATTTCAATTTCAATTTCAATCCTCTTCTAACAAATTTTTTACGGGTCAAACCCGTCGTATTATTTATGGTATTTGTAGCTACTCTGATAGTTACTATTACAAGTACCAGTATACCCACCACCTCCTTTTGTTTTATTTATACTACATATTACTCGTTTTTTGTTAGTATGTTGCTAGCCGCATTGTTTCTTAAGATTGTAATGTACGATTTTATATGACACGGTTGAACTCCATACGTGAAATAATGTCACAAATAATTCAGAATCAATGTAATTGTGTTGTTTAATCTAAAAGTTGGCAAATTATTCTAATACAGAGTACACAAATTTTGGTTGGTGTGTGTTTATTATATGTTGATTGGTGAATGCCTTTGTGTTTATTAATTGGATTGATATAGCAATCTTCTGGTGACATTGATGGTTGGGTTTATATCACATTATTAATGGTTGGATTATAACATCAACATCTTTAATAAATAATGAGCTAAAAGTGAGGTAGAATTGGCTTAAAGAGGGTGAAATCTCTTTACATTTTGTACAATATTAGGTGATCATATTCGCCGTGGGGGTAAACTATTGGAAAAGGTGACTCATACCATCTATTGAAAAATAAACTTATTATACACGATACAATGCACTTAACAACATTATCATGTGACGAGCAATGCATGCCTCGTTTCATGTTGTGTGTTTTTTCCGTGAATGGTCATGTTTAGTCTCAAGCTTAGCCCTTAGCCTATTACTGTATATGTATATGAGACATGTTATACTTCTGTCAATTAGCCTATTCTTTATAGGTATGTCCATTAAATAACTATATACACAAAATCTAGGACACACCAATTATTAATATTCTCAATTAATTATGCTGATATGCCTTAGGAAAAAATTATTGATAAAAAAAATGTGAGATTAATTTACCAAGAGTCTAAGAACACAAAATAAAATAAGTTGAAATACTCCATATTATAAGTTATATTAGACACGATTTAAAATTATTTTAATTAAGTTTAGACAAAATAATTCAAGTTCAGATGATGTCGACCCATTTTTACCTAGGAAACTCGATTTTTGAGGTGATTTTCCTTTTAATTCGAAGCCCGACCTAGAAATCTGAACCCAAACAATATGCCCAAAAATTCGGCCGAACGCGGTGCTAGCCTGACCCATTTGATCTTTAATTACTTTCCCCGTTTTTTTTAGTTGCATCACTTTGCAAATTGCAGACTCCTAGACAATTTTGGAGATGAGAGAGATAGAAAGAATAAGAATATGTCAATATGGACCTGCGTGATAAAAGAGAGATAGAGAGAGTTTATTAATCAAAAAGGATAGTGATGTAACTAATTTAAAAATTCGTTAACATAGACTTATGTGATAAAAAAGAGATAGAAAGAGTTTTATTAATTAAAAAGTAAAGTGATGCAACTAATTTAAAAATTCGTTTCATGAAAGTGATGCAATTAAATAGAAACGGAGGAAGTATTAACAAGTTTGTCAATAGTCACATATTGAACGTAACCCACGCGCTAGAAGGCAGGTAGTACAAAAAGGCGGAGGATTTGGAAATGGCGATGTCTAGTTTCGAGTAAACCCAATAGTTTTATTAATTTAAAAATTACAGGCGCAAAATTTTTTATAAACATCTCAAAATTTTTTTTTAAAAAAATTGAAATCATCAAATATTTCCAAAAAAAAAAAAAAGAAAAAAAAGGAGTGGTAATCGTAATCGAAGAAAAGCGAGGGTTTAGTTTTCTCTGTACCAGCAGCACCGTTGTTCATTCATTTTCTCTCTCCTCCCAATTTTCTCTTGAAATTGGTATCCCTCCATTTTTCTCTCTTTCTCTCTCCTCCCCTTCTCTTTCTCTCTCTTTCCCACTTTCTCTCTCCTCACCATCTTCAAGGAGAAGGAGAAGAAGACGAAGACAAAGACGAAGAAGAAGAAGGGTTCCTTTCTTCCTGGGCTTCTGGAAGATCTGCTAGGGTTTTCGCTTCTTACAAGATGAGCTTCGATCCCGTTCCTTCTAACTCTCATCACAATCTTGATGAGCAGATCGGTCAGCTTATGCAGTGCAAGCCTCTTTCCGAACAAGAGGTTTTCCTTCTTTCTCTTTCTTCTTTTTCTTCGATTGGAATGTACTAGATCGATTTGATTTCTTTTCATCAATTTGGGTTTTTTTCGGTGGAACTTTTGTGATCTGTTAATTTTGGGATTTTTGTTTGTTTTTGTGGGTTTCTGGTGCCTGGAAATGTGTGAAAGTTGCAAGATTTGTTCTGGGTTTGTTGATTTTTTTTTCAATTGAATTAGATCCGCTGATTTTTATTCTATTTTAACCCACAATTTGTGTCGAAATTTTGGATTTTATTTGAATGGCAACTGGCAAGTCATAGATTGTCTCATCTTGTTTTATAGAAACAGCTTTTAAATTCTGGTTTAGGTGGATATGTGGTAAGAAAGAGGCAATTTGAAGCGCTTAAGAACGAGTTTTCGACTCGAACAAGTATCTGAATTCTTGAATCTATGCATTGAACCAGGTCATATGAGTGAGTGTGAAGTGAGGAAAGTAAAAAAGCCAGGGTTTTATTACATGGAGTGAATAAATCATCTTAACCGGCACAGCTAAAAGATGGCAGGAAAACAAGAGGGTGTTTTGCTTGTTATGTTCATCGGTGAGGAAGGATTATATGCAGGATACTTTTTTTTTTGGCTAATCTAGTAAAAGCTTGCAAGCTGGATTCATGTTTAATAGTGTCGTACCCCGAGGAGAGAGTTTCTACACATTTTCTAACTTGCAAATTATCAATGTGTTGTTGCTTATGCTAGTTTAGGCTGTTTTCGAATGGTTCTGACATACTGTTGACATCACATCAAATTAGAATGGTTATTTGTTGTTCTGGATGATGGTGTATTATATGATATGTTGAAGTGTTATACCTGCAACGACTGCAAGTACATGTTATTGGTTGACTAAGAGACCAATCTGTTCAGTTGCAGCCACAATTTAGAAGCTGTTGACCAATTTTCTCACTTTATTAATCTTACATGAGTTTTTGTTAACGTGCAGGTTAGGACTTTATGTGAGAAGGCAAAGGAGATTTTGATGGATGAAAGCAATGTTCAGGTGTGCTGTCTACATGCTACATTCATTCATATTTGCTAAATTGCTAGTGCCTGCTTATTTTTCTGTTTGGTACTGTATCGGATAGCTTACAATTTTACAATTTTGATGGATGAAAGCAATGTTCAGGTGTGTATGCTGGTAGCTTTTGTCTTTTACAATTTTACATAGTACATGTGACTGGAGGATGGTTTTCCTATTCATTAGCAAGAGTTTAACTTCCATGACCTAGTTTTTTTTTTTTTTTTTTTTGGTTATTGTTTTTGCAATCTAGCAAAGATGTTGCTATCCAGTTCCCACATGTCAAACTTATTCATAGGCCGTGTTAAATGCTGCTTGACGGTGATGGTGATTATTGCCAAGTGGCCAACTATTTGTGGCTGTTGTTTTAAATTTCTGAAATACATCTGTTAGTAACCTTAAGAACCACTCTCAACTCTTCGGTATTTCATTGATTATTTGAATGAGGGAGCCAGCATACAAGCAATATGTCAAAAGTTTGGTGTTTGGCTTTGGCAATTGGTTAAATAATTCTCAACCCCTGCCAGAATTTCACTTGATGTATGAACGAGGGACAAAGTCGGTCTTAAACCAGCCATATGCTTGATGTGCAGGATTGATGTTCATTTTGCAACATAGATTAATCTTTTCTCTCTCTATTGTTGTCCATGGATTATGCCTGAGTTGGTTATAATTCTTTAGACTATGATGCGTATAGGTTTATAGGAATTACTGTCTTTTTCCTTTTGCTGATGCTGTCCTATGTATTTGTTTAGATGAGTGCATCTATGTTTACTGGTTGAATTCTTTTTAACCTGTGTTGGATTTGGCTTTCTATCAATTGTAAACTTTTTTTCTTTATCCAAAATATTTAGTGATTATTAGAATGTGGTCATGCTAGTACATTGTCCTAATCCTCATTTTTTAATTTTGTCTGAACGCAGCCCGTGAAAAGTCCTGTGACAATTTGTGGTGACATCCATGGACAGTTTCATGATCTAGCAGAGCTTTTCCGTATTGGGGGGAAGGTATGCATTCGGTTGGGGCTCTATATTTTTATTGGCTGTTGATTTTTGAATGTGTGTAGTATTTCTATATATATACATATTCTGTGTTTAATTTTCAAAGATTCCTTTTGAACCAGCTGATTAAATTTCAATGCAATTGTATGTCTTATTTATATTAATTTTATAGTGTGTGTATTGTTGTGGTCTTTATTGTAGCCATTGTTACTGATTTTGGCCTTTTCCTTTTGATTGTAGTGTCCAGATACAAATTACTTATTTATGGGTGATTATGTTGACCGAGGATATTATTCAGTGGAGACTGTAACGGTGAGTATTATCCTATTGCCTTACGTGCCAAAGTAAATCAATAGCAAGTTAGGAATATACTCTATTTTATGTCATGCTTGTTTTAGTGAGGATGATGTTTGGCAGCTTATGCAGATCTTTGAAACACTATTCAATTTTTATTTTAAGGAGTTGTGTACATTCAACTGCTCAAATTTCAATTTTGCTTTAATTTTTGAGCCCTATCTCCCGACACTACAAAACTGGGTGGTGCTAGAGGAGATCGTGTTTTAATTATGCTGCGAAAACACTCTCATTCCAGAGTTCTTGGGGAGGAGATTTTCTTGGGGAGGAGATTCTGTTTACTTTCCACTCGGTGTGGAATGTAGGAGACTCCGACACTGCTCTTTGCTATACTTGTAACATGACTTTGTAGCAATTTATGGTTTTGCTAGCCTGGCATGGCTATTAGTGATTATAGGACTGGTTTTTTCCCCTTCTCTGCCTATTTGATTAATGTGTGTTGTTTGGGTTGGCCATGGTCCATGGTGATTGTTGGTAGCTTCCAGCTCACCAGATCTATCTGGGTCCACCGCTTATGATGATGTTCTGAACTTCTGATTTTGGCTTCCTTGTCTAGAATGATATGTATGAATCACGCTATATATTATGCAAAGATGCTTTATGATGATAATCTGTTGATGTTGTAATTGATTTTGCTTGGGCATTTGTTTTCCTCGTTCAGCTCCTGGTTGCACTTAAAGTCCGCTATCCCCAAAGGATCACCATTCTTAGAGGGAATCATGAAAGTCGTCAGGTATAATTCTTCTCATTGACAGATGAGCTTATTTGTAATTCCATTCCCAATGACCACTTGCTATATCATTAAATTTTTTATGTTAAACTGATGGTCCCTTTGATCTAATTTCCTGGTGGTAATTTTGGACAGATTACTCAAGTTTATGGTTTCTATGATGAATGCCTACGGAAGTGAGTATCTATCACTCAAACTCTTTCCAGTCTGTATTCAGCTGACTATGGCATATGTTGTATGAGGAACTCCATGCTTACAGTTAGATACATCTGATTAGATAAATTCTTTTTGTGGAGATGATTGTAACAGAATTATTAAAAGGTATTTGTTATGGAACTACCTATATGCTGATGAGACTTGACTGTAGGTGCACTACCCCACCTTAAGTGTAATCACCTAAATGACTTGTGATCTGTTTGCTTGTTTTTTCTGTTGTTATTTTGTTTGCATAGCTTTTATCTTTATGTAAGTTATTTTTGAAATCCTTTCCCAATCCCCCATCTTATGCTGATGGTGCATTGTGTTTATGCCAACATGTAACCCATGAGAGGGCTTGATGGTGTGGGATATGGACTTAGCCATCTAGGTTGAATTTTGGGGCAGCAATATGTTGACACTCTATCATGCTGGAAACTGGCCTATGCGGCTAAGTTGAAAGCCTTGTTTGTACGTGCCTTAAAATGGAGGGGAATGTATTTAGGGATAGGAGGATGGACTCTATATTATGGTTGGGTGGGCTTTTATATATTGGTATTGCCTAACTGTTGCAAAGCTAATCACTTGTGTTGAGAAGGTTATACATAAATGACATATAGTTGATTATTGTTTAAGTTATGTACTGTAACCCTGCAGATGTAGAACGTAAACTTATGCATATTTGAATCCCCCTTGTCCCACAGGTATGGAAATGCCAATGTCTGGAAGACCTTCACAGATTTGTTTGATTATTTTCCGCTGACTGCATTGGTTAGTACACCTTGGCTATATTAATTTTGCATTATGTTAATCTGTTTCATGTTACATTGCAGTGTGTGTTGCTTTCGGTGTTGACATGCCTTTAAATGTCTTCTTCTCAAAGTTTGTTTGATGTTGTAGGTGGAATCTGAAATATTTTGCCTGCATGGTGGATTGTCCCCATCCATTGAAACTCTTGATAATATACGGAATTTCGATCGTGTCCAAGAAGTTCCCCATGAGGGACCTATGTGTGATCTCTTGTGGTCTGACCCTGACGACCGTTGTGGTTGGGGTATATCACCTAGGGGAGCTGGATACACTTTTGGCCAAGTAAAATTTTCACCCTTCTGCTTATTTAGCTTCTTTTCATTTTCATGGAGCTGCCTGATTGTTCATGTTCTTTGAATTTTCCCCTGTTCAGGACATATCTGATCAATTTAACCATACCAATAACCTAAAGCTGATTGCCAGAGCTCACCAACTGGTGATGGAGGGATTCAACTGGGCACATGTGAGTGAATATATCTTATAAGAAATGTTTGTGCTTAAATCTTTCTGTATAAATTTTTAAGTGATGTATGTAAATTGTTTTGATCCTCCCCCAGGACCAAAAAGTTGTGACAATATTTAGTGCTCCTAACTACTGCTATCGGTGTGGAAATATGGCATCCATCCTGGAAGTTGATGACTGTAAAGGTCACACATTTATTCAGGTATCCACTGCTTACTTTCTTTAGATCTCACATAGGATGCCACGGTCATTGTGCAATGTAATTGTAAATTATCGAGGCTACTGTATTCTACTGATTATTATAATAAATTTGTATGGTAGTTGCTTGATAGTTCTATTCTACATTATCGCAGTTTGAGCCTGCTCCAAGAAGAGGGGAGCCTGATGTCACCAGGAGGACACCTGATTATTTCCTGTGATTTCAAGTTGCCAATGACAAGATGGTTTCTGGTGGTGGAAAGCCTCCTACCTGATCCTATGTTTATTGAGCGCTATTTCATGTATTGGGGGTTGTTATTCTCCTATGGTGATGAATGGATTGCTAGTCACATGTGATGCAGCAGATAATCTTCTTTTGACTTCATGCTTCTAGATTATGGTGAATTTCGCGAAAGAGGAGTCTAGGGAGCTTGTAGGAGGATATGTACCAATTTCCAGCAAAACATTGTGGTATCTTTAACGCCAAAATTTCTTTGCTTTCTTGGTCCTTTTTTGGCCTTTTTAATTCGTCTTCTAATTTTTTTGTTTATTCAATGTAGAAGAATGGTTGTTTCGTGGGCTGGGGGTTCTGTAGAGAGACAAATAGTTAATTTCCTATTCCAATGGGTGCTTTATATAATTTTTTTCCTCTCAATAGTCCCAAGAATTATGTATTTAGCGGCTGCATTATGATCTTACATCTTGTGCTCTTAATGGGCTCTGGAGACCTTTCTCGCTGTTTCAAGTTCTTGGTTTTGCATCTTTACTTTTTTGTTGTCTGAGGGGTGTTGTTGCTTCCGATCATAATTTTAGTTCTTGTCTCGAGTAATTTATGCCTTGAGCATATTAGAAAATGAAATGTCTAGTGACTAGTTAGTTATATACTCGATACCTGTGAAATGCACAAAGCCTATCAATTACAATGGTGAGATTTGTGCTGAAAGAGGGTTTTTCAAACGCAAGTTGAAGAAATTTTTGTTGTGTTATAATCTGCGTTTGCAGTGTGCAAGACTAATCAGATAATGAATCTAGTCAAATGAATGAAGTTGAGAATGAGCGTAGCTGTGCTTGTAGCAAGTGATTTTTTGTGATGCCTGACTTGTTTAAGAACACTAACTAAAGAAATTTGAGATACTATTTGAAAAAGTTTCACAATACAAACAAGAAAGGTGTTAAATGATGCAGTTGACACTTTAGGTAGGTCTTGCCTGTCTGAACTCTTAAATACTTGCTCATGGTGCATAGTCTTTTGGTTATTGGCGGGGTAGTTTGGCCATTGCAATGAATGATGATGTAATTTTATGTTCATAGAACGTAGGTGGTATTGCAACATTCGCAACGCACTAGAGTCACAAATCAAACCCATGATGTTATGTAAGACTACAAATGGATAATGAATACGAGTCATGACTGTTGTGCTTGTTTGGTAAATGTCAACGAGGGACTGATTTTGTGCCGGAATACCAATCCATGGCTTTGGCATAAGCTAGTGGCAGCGTAAGCATCTTCTCAATGCTTCCTACTTTTGCACGTTTTGTCAAGTTGTCGTAATTGTTTGCCTCTATCTTATTTAAAATCTTCCGGTACAACATCATTGACGCCCACACCTAATCATACATTACAACACTGTCAGTTTTGTCCAGTCACCAGGAGTTATGCTATAGTTGCTATAAATCCAGTTACATCCTCATATGCTGGATATTAAATGCTGTTTTTGCTTTTTGAGAATGAACTTCAATTGTTTTCTTGGAATATGCAATGATAGATTTGTGTTGATCTTGGAAAGCGAATGTAACAATTTAAATGGAATGTACAATATAGTAGAAAGTACAATGTTGCATACCGGCCACCTACTAGAGATGTCTAGCTGAGAAGCAATATGCTCTCCCTGATCGTAGTAGTATCTTGCTCTCTCTATCTGCTTCTTTATGAATTCTCGCCATTCCTCTGTTACATTCTTCGAGAATATGTCCTCGTTTGTCAATCCAAACTCTCTGAGCTCGTCTTGTGGAAGGTATACTCTTCCCCTTTCAGCACTGAATTAAAGAAATGCACATCATATTCTTATATGAACAGAAACAGGTCAAAAATATTTAATTTCCCTCGTATTAGTAGAGAAATTACTCTTCTGCTACATCTCTAAGGATGTTAGTCAGCTGGTTTGCGATTCCCAAGGAAACCACTGCTTGAAAAATGCTTTCAGTAGAAGTCTCAGATTCTGGTGACATTCCTGCTATAGGGAGAGTCATTAAGCAACCTGTTATAGCCACATAATAGCAGTATAGTACAAGCTCTTCATAGTTCTCATAACAAGTTTTCCACGCGTCCATTCTCATCCCTTGCATCAGATCTTTGAAAGGCTGATCACCAAGAATGGTAAACTATTCTCAAAAAGGAATTACATGATATTAAGAAATAAATTAGGAACAAATGCGTGTAGCTTAAACCTCAATGTCAAGGGGAATTCGCTGGAAAGTATCAGCCAAGGCAGTGTCTGCTATGTCACGAGGACATCCATTGAAGATATCCTCAAGCCTCTTTTCCCAGCTATCCAATACAGCCGCGCTTGCAAGGTTCTTATCCACTAGCTCATCCGTCCTCTGACCCCAAGCTGTAATTGTATCATTTGAACCATGTTAGGCATCTTGATCGTCTTGTTACTGTTTGTTTGATTATCACCTGTAACAGGGTAAGCAGGGAGACAAACGTACCGTATACAGCCCATACAGCTTTCTTTCTTTCTTCAGTCATCAGCAGACTTCCTGTACCGTTTTTTTCAGGCTCAAGAGGTGTATGTAACTAGTACTAAGATTCTTAAGAAGTAAAATAGTACAAGAGGTGTATGTAACTACCTAGATAGTAGGTGGTCGAACGTTCAGCACAGATTTGTCTGCAAGTTTCATAGGCCTCTTTAAGAACGACAGGATCAAACCGGGTTTCTTTCCTGGATACGGAACCCTTCAACTGCCTCTCAATGATTTGTAGGATTTTTGATTCTACAAGAGGATCAACACCCTTGTAGGGTAGAACAAGGGAGCTTTTTGGCTTGCTCTCGAGTACAGCTTTTGCAACCTTCGATTTTCGTACTAATGAGGCACGGCCGTATTTGGCTGCAGCACCAACACCCGTAGGCTTTATGTGCAGCAACTGCAGCTCTAATGAAAAGTTGTTCATGATACTATTATTTTGGTTTTCTTGTTGATTAGTTGAAGCAGAAGTAGTTGTCTCAAAGTCGGACTTTGTTTCTCATAAAATAGGAGGTTCATGAGTTTTAAATCTTGATTGGCTGTAATAACTAATGTCATCCAACTATATTTTCGTGAAAGTTTGGTCTAGAATGGACAACCACTAGAATATAACAGTCATTTTCAACGTTTTTTCCACGAGTGAGAGTTTAAGTACGTCAATAGTTCCTTGATTTTGATATATCTGGTTGTTTTACCGAAAAAAATGACCATGCTATTTTAAGTCTTCTTGGATTATCTTAGGAAGAAATGGAGTTTTTTGCAAAAGTGACGGAAAAAAGTCAAATCTGCCCCTCTGATTTGAAAGTCAATTCAGATTTCTGTCCCACCTTATTTCTGCTATTTTTGGTTTGATGGAAAACAATTATTTTAATAGAAAATTATTTTCTAATTTTCAAGAAAATTCAGTAATGTAAAATTGCTTGGTTACAGGCAAAGTTACGGAGTAACATTTTGGTATCACATTACATATTTACATATAGAAGGAAAATATTTTTCTATCCGAGAGCTATTTTTTTTTCACCTTTGTCAAACTTGTTTTCCACCATTTTACAAACCAAATAAAAGAAAATGTGCAAATTATTTACGTCAAAACAAACACAAATAGAGCCTATACTAATTATCCGTGACAAAATCTGTCAGAAAATAATATATCTGACAACTTTCCGTCATAAAATCAATCATAATATGCATTAATTACACTCATCAAGGAGTTTGCCATACATTTGTAAACAACATAATAATAGCCAGAAAATACAAGTACAGTACTACATTGTTCAACTAACTAAATCGTTCCTGCAGGCAGGTTACAAAATTAATGAGCGACTGATTTTGTCTTTGAACTTCACCACCCCATGGCCTTCGCGTAAGCTAATGGCAGGGTAAGAAGCTTCTCAGCTCTCCCAACTCTTGCTCGCTTTGTCAAATTGTCGTAATTGTTAGACTCTATCTTGTCCAAGTTAGCCCGGTACAGCATCATTGATGCCCACACCTAAGTCAATCAGATTCAGGAAAACTCAAGTTTCACCATTTATTCTAAGCAATTAACAAATCCACAAATGTTCACAAATTCATATTAGAAGTATGTTGCATACCGGCCACCTACTAGCGCTGTCTAGCCGAGAAATACCTTGCTCTGCTTGATCATAATAGTATCTGGCCCTCATTATCTGCTTCTTTATGAATTCTCGCCATTCCTCAGTCACATTCTTCCAGAAAATGTCCTTGTCTGTCATCCCAAACTCTCTGAGCTCATCTTGTGGAAGGTACACTCTCTCTAATAAAGAACTGCATCGGAAAAATAGACACTACATTCTTACTTTGTATTGGATGTACACAACTACTTGAACAAGTCCAATATTCTGTTATAGGCAGTAATCAAATGAGAGCTTACTCTTCTACTACATCTCTTAGGATGTTAGTTAGCTGGTCTCCGATTCCCATGGATATTGCAGCTTTATAAATACTTTGTGCAGAACTTACATACTCTGGTGAGATTCCTATTATTGGAACAGTCATTAAGCCAACTGTTCCTGCCACATAGTAGCAGTAAAGTTCAAGCTCTTCATCGTTCTCGTAACGAGTTTTCCATGTGTCCATTCTCATTCCTTTTATCAAATCTTTGAACGGCTAATCATGAACACATGTATAATTAATGTTCGCAAAACTAACAAGAGATCAAACAAACAAGTAGAAATTTAAGGAGATAACAAAGTAGGTGAAACCTTGATGTCGAGTGAAAATTGCTGGACAGTGTCAGCCAAGGCGGTGTCCAGTATGTCATGCGGGCGTCCATCAAAAATATCTTCAACCCTATTTTCCCAGCTATCCAGCACAGTTGAACCGGTGAGATGGGCATTTTCACCATCCACTAGTTCATCTGTCCTGTGGCCCCAAGCTGTCAGCCAGGAAAAACAACGTGACAGGCAGCAGCAAAATCTTGTCTATAGTTTTGCAACAATATATTGTTGTAGCTTTTATTGTCTAACATATTATTTTTATGAGATGGTCTCACCCAAAACTTGGTCTAGTTTGGGTAGTGAATCCTCCCCTGAGTCCTCTTTTAAAGTACTTGAGACCTAAGCATTTTTTTTTTTTCGGGAGAGAGAGGGGAAGGGGCAGATTTGTTACATCTGAAATCTGACTACAGCTCTAGGTAGATTATAGCTGTCAGCATTTTGACATCATTCATGTTAAAATTTATTCTATCAAATTGACATAATACATAGTTGAAAATTATTGCTGAATCAGATCTAGGGAGAACATACCATACAAAGCCCAAATTGCTCTCTTTCTTTCTTCAGTCAGCAACAAACTTCCTGTAACATATTTATCAGAATAAATAAAAAATGGTAAATCAGAAACTTGCAAGAGGTATACAATCAAGCACTCAATAATACTTAAAAGTACAATAAAACATGAGAGGTTAAAAGGTGATGGAAGTACCCAAATAATAGCTTGTAGCATGCTGGGCACATATTTTTTGACAGCCTTTGTACGCTTCTTTAAGAAGGATAGGATCAACATGGTTCTGTTTTCTGGGAATTATACCCTTGGACTGCTTATCAATAACTTCTTATAATTCAGTAAGAGGATCAATGTCCTTTTTTGTTAGAATAGGAGAGCCTGTTGATTTGCTTCTGAGTAAGTCAGCTTTTGGAGTTTTATTGACCTTAAATTTTCGCACCAACAAAGTCTGGTTTATTTCTGGTGCAGCACCTGTAGGCTTTAGGTGCAGGAACTGCACTGCTAATGGGTAACTGTACATAATTTTTTGATCTATCAGTTGCGGAGTTGAATTGAAGTGCTTGATTTATGTTGGACTGTAAACTCAAAAGGAACTAAAACTTAGGAGGAGCCTTATGCTTTTGGAAAAGCATTAGAGGTACAGTCGTACAGATCAAATAGTCTGGTTGCAATTTGAAACATGTCATGCTATTACTGAACTTTTGAAATCTCTGTATTATTGAATACCTGAGTAGGTTGCCAATTACTTTGTATATAATTAGGGAGATTTTTTATTTTTATGAGGGAAATATAATTAGGGAGGTATTATATTCGTACTAATGGAGCAGGTTGATGTTTTTAAAGCTGAAATGGCTCTCTAACCATCATCATTAATTGTCTAATGAATATTTACAAGAAAGAGCTTCACTTCCTTCACATTATTTCTAGAGAATCTGAACATAGCCTTCCAAAAGTTTCTACAAATCTTCCATCCAACTTCGAGTTTTATACTACACCGTAGTACAGTAGTATCCCAATTCTTATCTATGACTGCTGAACAATTGGGATACAAGATAGGACTGACGAAAGTCACCATAAAAGTTCGATTATAACTCAACAGTACTTGCATCAGAGTTTAATCCTGCAGAAAATAACAGAATGACCAAGGATTTTGTCGCAGATACTTGTATATACGAGTATGACAGTCAGTCAATACCTAGTAATTCCTTGTAGACGTCTGCCCAGATTAGCACCAGTCAATAAGCTAGTGGCAAGATATGCTTTGTCATGTTTATCAAATTGTCATAATCATGTCTCTCAAACTCGTCCAAAATTCTTTGATGTATAATCAAAGGTGACAACAAGTGCAATTAAAAGTTGAGAACTTCTACTCATTCTACAAAGCACTCATGATGATGACATCAAGAACGAAGTATTCATTAAAGAACCAAATAATCCATGAGTGAGGACATACCAGCCATGAACTAGAATTGTCAATATGACAAACACCTTAGGCTTCTCGCGTCAAAATGGTTCCTGCCCTCGTAATTTGCTTCTTCGATAAAAAAAAAAAAAAGGAAACTCTTCCATTACTCAGTCATATTTCAAGAAAAGATTCTCATCCTTCAATTTGGATTCTCTGAGATCGTCTCATAGAAGATAAATTCTCCCCCTGAATTTAAAGAAAATGCAATTTGTTATTCATGCTCCTGATTATTTCAGGATTTTTATCAAGTATAGCAGTATGACTTACTTTTCTTGTTTGTGAGCTGATTCCCGATCCCCAAGCAAAGTGCAGTATAATAGATGCTTTGAGTGCAAGCTGAATAATTGGGTAAAAATCCTAGGACTGGCAGGCTCAACAGCCCAACTGTTCCAGCCACTTAGTAACAGTAATAGCAGAGGTTCTACAAAATTTTGTACCAATCTTTCCATTTATCCAATGGCATCCCTCTGATCACATCTCTCAAAACCTAAAGCCTAACTATGATAAAAGAAGGGATCTTTGTTTAGTTCCTTGCAGCTGGTACTACCAAGTTTATGCTATGTCAAGGGGAAATATCTGAATAGTTTCTACCAAGGTTGTATTAAGCATGTCATATGGGCATTCAATAAGGATGTCGTCAAGCCTGTCTTCCCTGCTTCCTACACTTTTGAACTTGTAACGTAGGAATCTGAAGTTAGGACCATCTACAAATTCATCCATTCTATGGTTCCAAACTGCCATTTTAGTTTAGTATAAAGGTTTTACAGAATCTGTAGCATTCTTTGTTTGAGAAAATAGAGACTGATTCAACTTTAGAAGAGTGTAGAGGGATAGAGAACCATAGAGATCCCATATTGCTCTTTCTCTTTCTTCTGTCATTAGTAAAGTTCCTGCAACATCAAAACGAGACCAAAGAAGACCATGATGAATCTATATAACTAAGTCACACACCAAAAATGAACGGAAGTACATGGTAAAGGATTAGCTTGAAATACCTAAATAGAAGATCTTGGCATATTTAGCCCACATGTTTTGGCATTTGATGTAGGCTTCCTATCAGAAAACCAGGATCAAATTGGGATCCTTTTCAGAGTGTTCCTGCTTCCTTAGGTTGCCTCTCAAAAAACTTGTTGGACATGAAATTTAGCAAGGTCTGCACAATTTGGAAACCAAAGCCACACTGGACTTGAAATTTAATGTACTTACCACTCAACTTTGGGGAGTCACATGAGTAGCACCACTACGGCACGACCCTAAGAAAACAGGGCACCTGAAAAAGCCCTTGCTGAGTCAAATTCTAAGATTGATAATTGTATGAGACCTTTCTGAGGATCAATATCGAAAATAGAGGAGTAATGAGGGAAGGATCTCACTAGCCACCCTCCAGCATAATGCAAGGCACAAGAGCTGGTACAGGGGGGTGCCAGAATGCTTGAAGGCACCAACCAGGGAAGTACCTAAAGTCTGCTGAATTGGTATAGACGGCAAGTCAACAAATACTTGGTATGTGCCTTTCCATGGCCAATAACTGAACATAATGAATAGAGGCTTTAAAAATATTGTAAAATAGTTTTTATTAACAGAGTTTTCTGTACATAAGAAGAAGAGTAATCAGAGCCCTAATCTCCTTAACAAGCCCAATGTATAGAAACCAAAAACAGGCATCAATCATTATCTTCCACACCCATTATCGACACAGGTTTGAAAGCTGCCAATACTACGGAAACCTTACAAGCAAGAAAACCAACCATTCCAGCCAAAATTTCTCTTGGAGTCAGTGCTGCTATGAAGTCTGGTTTGTCGTGCTTTGTTGCTAAAATTGCAATAGCAAAAGCAGATGCAAATACTAATATTGGACCTTTCAATCCTCCAAACAGCCTGTTGAAGTTATTTCCCTTGCCCATTGATTCAGGAGCTGGTAATGTGTCCACAGACCTCTGCAAAAACAGCAGGTACAGGAAGCCACCAATGCCTCCAGTCAAAAATGCTAAGCCTGTATTCTTACCTCCAGTGATGGAGGTAATGGAGGTGCCAGCAAAAATGAGCATAGCATCATATAGTAACAAAGAATATTTTAGATTTTCATATTCTTTCATGCTATCCTCATTTGTTATTCCCTTTTCTGCCAGTGATACAGCTTGTGAAGAATTTCTATCTACAATCGAGACAGAATCAGCCCCAAAATGCTCTGTAACCAGACAAGGGCGGAGTTCTGCCATTGCCAAGTCACCCCCTTCCCCAAGCAAAACATCTTCAACTTCAAAATTGCAAGTTATACTGCAATAACTACCCCCATTTGCATAAGATTCTTCCCTTTGATAATTATAAACACTGATCATTGTCAAGCTTGCACCACCCAATCTCCAACTGCCTGACCTTGAAACAGAAGAAAGGAAGTTAAATGTAAATAAGTGAAAGATGAAGGTGAATGCTACAAAGTGCATATGATATATCTTAGAGAATTTGATGTTTTACATTCAACACTATTCTATATCTTGCACTTTCTTTTATCAAACAAACTATAAAATATTTTGTTAACAAATTAAAATGTGTATATATAAACATGCGATAAAAAAGCATTATGCTTTGTTGGAAAACATGTCAAAATAAGGAAAACATGGACTTAAGCAATTTGGAAAGATTTTATATAATCTTTCTTTAGATGAAAGGAAACTAATGACTAAATTATCAATTCATGACATAAGTTCGATATCCCACAGTTACAGTTAACTACTAGTAGTGTAGTAGTATTGAAGTCCTCAACCAATTGAATCAAGGTGTAGAAAATGCCAACCAACCTGATTCAAGACTTATCCACATAGCCTGAATTCTTCCCAGTTTCGGTCCCAAAAATATAAATTCATCAATTGCACCTCTTTTAAAGCGAATAACCTCAGAAGTGACAGCATCCTTTGATTGCAGCATATGATCTTGACTGATGATGGAAGGAATCCTCTCCAATATTGAATTACCATGCTTGTCAATAATACAGACAAGAATTCCAGCATTCTGATCACTTAGTTCAGATCCATACATAGAACTAGTACACAACTGGACCTTGTACAAAGAATTCGACCCATCTAACTGAAGAGCTGAAAGGATTGTTTCCGGTGGTTCATCCATGTCAAATTTCAGCTCTTTGGTGGGCAAAAGTTGTCTAGGCTTTGCATATTCCTGAAAGTCTAGGCAAAAACATATTCTAAATAATACAGCCTTTTGAAAATCAATAAGAAACAATAACTCAATACATGTATCAGTTATTAAAATAAGTAGACACAGAACGCAAAAATTGATCAACTATACCTTTCTGCAGGCCTTGAAGGCATAGACTAACAATACACCTTCTAAATACTCCCTCTATGCCACTAAAATCGCCCCATGCTCTCGGAATAAGGGTCAAATAAGACAATTTTAGTGGGACGGATGGAGCACTAAGTTTAGATTTTCGAAGACCTCGGAAAAGAAATAAGTTCTCATGGAATCCTTAAATTGTACATCAATACAATTTCTGCAGCAGTAATCTAAAGCACTTTCAAAAACTAGGTTTACAGTATATCAATTGATGAAGTTAATTATAAATGCATTTTTATTCAATAAGATGGTAAATTTACATATTCTTACTCATATGTTACTGGACATAGGGCAAAATTAAACAGTTCAAAGTTTAAATACTACAGTATGAATTAGTTCTGATTATATAGTGATCAAAAGGAGAAAAAATGGAAAATATAAGTTTACCTTGGAAAGATGATTTCTTTGATGATACAAGAAAGCGAGGCGGGCGAATGTGAAGATTTCTTCTTGTAAGGTGAAAAGGGATTACTGAGAACTTAAAAGTGAGTGCATCAGAATGTTTAATTGTGGGTATTGCTAAAAACAACGCCATTATCAGTTTCCTGCTGTCAAACAAACATATGACTGTGATCAAATTATATTATATAAAATCAAGCATAGGAAATATCTGGGTATCAAATTACAGAGATAAACGAAAGATTTCACTTTGATAATCGAATTGGAATGAATGAATGATTGATTGCCTGATTGAGCTCCTTGTGACTTGTGGGGTTTCTAGGTTCACAAAAAATTTTCTTTCTTTTCTGAAATGAATTGTTATTACTAACATATTTTTTTTTACTACTCCGTATTTCCGTAACATAATTAGATATACGGAATACTGAATTAACCCATTAACCTAACCTATAACGTGTATAAGACTGATATGCTGACTGACTTGCATCGTATAAAGGTGGCAAACCTGGTCTAGAAAATATCTCCAGATTATGGAAGCCCATATTTCCCTTGAGGATTGAGTTAGGGCCGTTAAAAACCGACCCAACATGGAAACAATTCGATATTTTTCAAAGTGACATGATATTACATTGAACTAACAGATAATTATTGATCAATTAATACTTCCTATACAATTTGTTAGGACTCAACTTGATAAAGACATAACTTGAAACATCCTATTTGACAAATTTGTGTGCGAGATTATGACTGAAATGAGAGAGCATAGTCACATAAAGTACTTTGGCCCAAAATCCAATGTATGTCTTGGGATATGTTAATTATTTTAAATTATAAATGCTATGCCTTGTTTATTTTATTTTTAGTAATTTTAGGAAAAATAAGATAAATTTAATTTTGAAAATTTAATTTAGAAAATCCAATTATGGAAAATTCCTTTCAAATTACTTTAATTCTTAAAAGAAATATCGAGTTTGGTGCCACAAAAATTAAATCAACCAAGTGAAAATTAAGTAAATTAAACTATAACATTACTCATTAAATAATTTCCACTCTCCCCTAATTTGCGAACCACGGGGTGATGATTCCCTTCTTAATAAAAATCCCACCATCAAAAATGAGTCAATCGTCTTATACTTGTCCAACAACAAAGTCCATGATGTGCTACTAAAGTTAAGTCCACAAAATCAATATAATTATGCCAATAATCTTTACTTTAAAAATTATTGGAAAGCAATCTGCATACAGGGTTAAGAAGATATTGCGTATCTCCCAACAATTATACGTAGTATATTTTTTAATACCATAAAAAATAAATGTTTAAATAATATGATACACTCCAATCTTTACAATTCTTTTATCTTATCATCGATTCAGAATCTCCATTATTCTGTATTATTCTATTTTTTAACAGCTTTGTATGAACTGCATTTGTTTCTCACCAACTTGCAAGTGGTAATTTCTTCATTTACTTGTATCTTTCCACCTAAAACAAAGTTCCATAATTTCTTCGCTTACTCCAATACATTTTGGTCTTATATTATAAAGTTTACATAAATATATGCAACCTATTGCTTATTGTCATGTTTTGCACATGATTTTGATTAAATAATTGTTAGAGAAAGGTAGCAGAAAAAGTAGAATTCTGTTACATTAAAGTTGAAATCCCTGATTAATTTCACCCTTTCTACTCCATATATATATATACAGATTACAGAAAAACGTTATTCGATCTACCCTTATCATTATTTTGCACCCCAAAAATAAATATACTATGGTCCAAAATGATGAACCGATAACCAATAATACAGATCATGCTATCTCAGGCCAAGAGCTTCCGGTTACGGCCACCGCTGTCAGCGGTGGCAGTAACCACAAGAAGCTGACTCTCATCCCTCTTGTATTCCTGATATACTTTGAGGTTGCGGGCGGGCCTTACGGCGAGGAGCCTGCAGTCAAAGCAGCTGGCCCTCTGTTTGCTCTGTTAGGCTTTCTAATTTTTCCATTCATTTGGAGTGTTCCTGAGGCTTTGATCACGGCCGAGCTTTCGACCGCCTACCCCGGTGATGGCGGGTTTGTTATTTGGGCTGAGCGGGCCTTTGGCCCGTTCTGGGGATCCATCATGGGTACTTGGAAGTTCCTGAGTGGGGTGATAAATGTTGCTTCATTTCCTGTACTGTGCATTGACTATATGGAGAAACTGTTTCCTGTGTTTAGTTCAGGATTACCCAGGTACTTAGCAATAACTGTTTCAACAATAATGCTGTCATTTTTGAATTATACTGGACTTACAATTGTGGGTTATGCTGCTGTTGCTCTTGGAGTGGTTTCGCTGCTGCCGTTTATAATCATGTCTTTGGTTGCTATACCTCAAATTCACCCTCATAGGTGGCTTAGTTTAGGCCAAAAAGGAGTTAAAAGAGACTGGAATTTATTTGGTAACACTCTATTTTGGAACTTGAATTTTTGGGATAATGTTAGTACTCTTGCTGGTGAGGTTGACAGACCTCAGAAGACATTTCCCAAGGCACTGTTTATAGCCGTGATCTTTACCTGTTTGGCTTACTTGGTTCCGTTGTTTGCTGTAACGGGTGCAGTTTCTGTGGATCAGAATTTGTGGGAGACTGGTTTTATGGCAGATGCTGCACAAATGATTGTTGGGAAATGGTTGAAAATCTGGATTGAGGTTGGGGCTGTCTTGTCTGCAGTTGGACTGTTTGAAGCTCAGTTGAGTAGTTGTTCTTTTCAAGTTATGGGGATGGCAGATATTGGGTTTTTGCCGAGGTTTTGTGCTGCAAGATCGAAATGGTTTAACACCCCATGGGTGGGAATATTAGCGTCAACTGTGATCACTCTAGGAGTGTCTTTTATGAAGTTTACAGACTTAATTTCGTCAGCTAATTTCCTTTACAGTTTAGGTATGCTGCTGGAGTTCGCCTCATTTTTATGGCTGAGGAGAAAGAGGCCGCAGTTGAAGAGGCCATATCGAGTTCCAATGGGACTGCCGGGTTTGGTGTTAATGTGTTTGGTGCCATCAGTGTTTTTGGTGTTTATAATGGTTATTGCAACCAAGACAGTGTTTCTAGTAAGTGGCTTGATGACCGCTGGTGGAATTGTTTGGTTCTTTTTCGTGAAGCTGTGCAAGGCGAAGAAGTGGTGTGTTTTCGGCAGCATTCAAGCTGAGGACTGATTGCAGCAGCAGCAGCAATGTACTAGTAAATGACTAGCTATACATTCATGATATGCAGATTGTTTAGTGGAACATTCATCTTTTTAGCCCTTTGGTAAATATAGGCATTGTGCTATAGTGTAAGTTGTAACTTCTTTTTCAATCAAAGATTTTGCCTCAACATATTGCTTTCAACCAACGTTTTTGGATGTGAGTATGAATAACAATGAGTGATTAATGATGTGTAGACCTTCCTCAAATAAAGTTATAAACTATACTCTACTTTCCCCCTGATGCTACATTTAACTAATTGTTGTTTATTCTAATAAAGCAAAAAAGAATGCCACTTTATTCGTTTTGAAGGAATTAGCAACTAAAAAAACTGAAATCAATCAACTCATTCCCTCTAGAGTTTCCCCTTGAATTGGGAGGGTTTTCAGGTTCCTTCTAAGGTTTCTTCCTTGGTAAGATTTTTCATCTCGGTATTTTTTTTCCCCCGGGTTATTGTCCAAAATTGAATGCTATAATCCACGCTTTTGGACCAATTTCGTAGGTTTGGAGATCCGGTGTCGAAAAATCTTTAGATATTAGGGGGGGGGGGAGTTATATAATATTGTTTGGAATCATATATGATAATTATATGTTGTCATAAATCTCTATGGTGGGCTTGAGTTAATGAAATCGACATAAGTTGTAAATGGGTAAATGGACAATTTAAAGGCAAAGTGGATGGCTCCATCCACCCAAATAATCTCCCGGAGTGTATTGGGGTCTGTGGGAAGCAACTCGTCAATTTTTTTTCCGGGTCAAAAAAAGTCGAAAATTGTCAAAAATTAAAGGTTATAATCCATGATTTTGGCCCATTTTCAGAGGTTTCGAGACCCGGTGTCGAAAAATCTCTAGATATTAGGAGATACACCTCGGGGTCATATAATATCGTTTGGAACCATATATGATCGTTGTATGTTGTCATAAATGTCCGTGGTGGCCTTGGGTTGATGAAATTTACGTAAGTTGTAAACGGGTAAATTGACAGTTTAAAGACAAAGTGGATAGTTCCACCCACCCAAATGGACTCCTGGAGTGTATTGGGGTATATTGGAAGCATCTTGGAAATTATTTTTTCCAAGTAAAAAAAGTCCAAAATTGTCCAAAATTGAAGGCTATTATTCACGTTTTTGACCCATTTTGAAGGTTTCGAGACCTAGTGTCGAAAAATCATGAGATACTAGGAGATACACCCCGGGTTTATATAATATCGTTTGGAACCATATATGATCATTATATGTTGTCATAAATGTCCGTGGTGGCCTTGAATTTATGAAATCAACATAAGTTGTAAACGGGTAAATTGACAGTTTAAATGCAAAGTGGACGGTTCCACCCCCAAATGAACTTTCGGAGTGTATTGGGATATATGGAAAGCATCTCAGCAACTTTTTTTTTTTCAGGTTTAAAAAAATTCCAAAAATGTCCAAAGTTGAAGGTTATAATCCATGCTTTTTAACCAATTCTGTTTTGAGACTCGGAGTTGAAAATTTTCGGAATACTAGGGGATACACTCTGGAGTCATATAATGTTGTTTGGAACCATATATGATCATTATATGTTGTCATAAATTTTTGTGGTGGCTTTAAGTTAATGAATTCAATGCAAAATTGTAAACGGAGTTTAAAAGCAAAGTTGATGGTTCCACCCACCCAAATGGACTCCCGAAGTGTATTGGGGTCTATGGAAAGCATCTCAGCATATAATTTCAAAATCGTCCAAAATTGAAGGCTATAATCTACGCTTTTGGACCAATTTTGGAGGTTTCGAGACCCGATGTCGAAAAATGTCGAGATACTTGGGGATACATCTTGGGGTAATATAACGTTGTTTGGAACCATATATGGTCATTATATGTTGTCATAAATGTCCATTGTGGCCTTGAGTTAATAAAATCGGCATAAGTTGTAAGCGGGTAAATTGACAGTTTAAAGGCAAAGTGTATGGTTCCACCCACCCAAATGGACTCCCGGGGTGTATTGGGGTCCATGGGAAGCACCGAAGCATCTCGACAATTTTTTTTCCGGGTCAAATAAGTTTTAAAATTGTACAAAATTGAAGACTATATATTCCTAGATGGCCAATTTTGCCTGTTTTATCCAAAATAAACCGATTGCATATCCCTAAAGGTTATTTAAGTTGGTTTAGAACGGTAAGAGGGCTATACTTGAGCTTGAATTTGTTTCAATTACATGTCATATACATATGGCTATTTTGGAGTTTTGGACTATAGTTAAGTTTGATAGGCGCCTACTTAACACTTGCCGTATTTGCAAATTTACACAATTTTATTAACGTAAGTCTGTACTGTTACACCTGCAGTATTGCAGTATTCTGCAATCACATTTTACATATTCAGAAATCATAAAGATTGGATCTTTTAGAATTGAAATCCCCAAGAATGACCATGACCCCACAATCCCCCCAAAAGAAGATACCATCCACTCCATATGCAGAAGACAAGTCTAACGAAGCCTAATTCCAGACAAATGGGAGTTTCTCTCTCCTCCCTAAATTCATCTTCAGAATCCACTCCATCATTCTCAATCATTGAAGAAGATGAGGAACTTCAATCCAATCATGGCAATCAACTCGAACCCAAGTCACCCAAAAAGCTAGCCCTCCTCCCTTTAATCTTCCTCATCTACTTTGAAGTCGCCGGCGGGCCCTACGGCGAGGAACCCTCAGTAAGATCAGCCGGCCCGCTGTTAGCCATCTTGGGCTTCCTAATCTTCCCATTTATATGGAGTATTCCAGAAGCTCTGGTCACGGCGGAGCTCGCCACCACCTTCCCCGGCAACGGTGGATTTGTGATCTGGGCTCATAAGGCTTTTGGGCCCTTTTGGGGCTCTCAAATGGGGTTCTGGAAATTCCTGAGTGGCGTCATTAATCTAGCTTCTTATCCTGTTCTTTGCATTGACTATCTGAAACTGGTAATTCCTGCTCTATCTTCTGGGTTTCCACATTACTTCGCAATTTTAATGTCAACTTCTGTGCTGTCATTTCTGAATTATACTGGGTTGACTGTTGTTGGGTATACTGCAGTAACTTTAGGGGTGATTTCATTGATGCCATTTATTGTCATGTCTTTGATTTCGATCCCTAATATTGATCCTGCAAGATGGATGAGTTTAGGCGAAAAGGGTGTGAAAAAGGATTGGAGTTTGTTCTTCAATACATTGTTTTGGAACTTGAATTTTTGGGACAATGCAAGTACTTTAGCTGGGGAAGTGGATAATCCTCAAAAGACTTTTCCAAAAGCTTTGTTTTCAGCTGGGATTCTCACTTGTTTGGGTTACTTGGTGCCTCTTTTGGCTGTCACTGGATCAATTCCTCTTGATCAAGAGAAATGGGTTGATGGGTATTTCGCTGACGCTGCTGAAATCATTGCTGGGAAATGGCTCAAGGTTTGGATGGAACTTGGTGCTGTTTTATCAGTCATAGGTCTGTTTGAAGCTCAATTGAGCAGCTGCGCTTACCAGTTTCTTGGGATGGCAGATCTCGGGATCGTTCCAAAATCTTTTGGTGTTCGATCCAAACGGTTCAGCACCCCTTGGGTTGGGATTCTAGTCTCCATGGTCATAGCACTTGCTATCTCATACCTCGACTTCACTGATATAATTTCGTCTGTCAACTTCCTCTATAGCTTGGGGATGTTGCTAGAATTCGCCTCATTTCTCTGGTTGAGGAGAAAAATGCCGGCAATAAAGAGGCCATATCGAGTTCCATTGGAGATGCTGGGGTTGGTGATCATGTGTTTCATACCATCTGTGTTTCTTATCTATGTTATGGTAGTTGCGAACAGAACTGTGTTCATTGTGAGTGCCTTGTTGACTCTACTTGGGATATTGTGGTATTTTCTTATGAAACTCTGTAAAACAGGAGGTTGGTGTACATTTAATACTGATGAAAGCAGTGAGGAAGAACACCATCTTGTTACAAAGCAGGATGTAGATGAAAGTTAACACTATTTGAGTCATGGGTGTACCCCACTGTAATTTGTTGCATACAATATGTAGGCTTGTGGATTATTTTATTGGTAAAGATTTGTTCTTTTATTTTGCATCAAGACAATCATGATTTAAGAAGAACCAAACATCTAAGAGGGGCTATATTGTCCAGAATTAAATAGACTTCTTTCAGAACAAAAAGGTACACGAAGCATACAGGTTTCCCTATCTCAGGGAATTAAAAAGGCATTTAAGAAGCCATGCTACTTGTAAAATATTTCGTTTAAGACCTTGTTAGACCAACCAGTGGAGGTTGCATTGGTAGTAAAATACAAACCTGCAACCTTAACTACACAACCTCGTAAAGCTACATTCATACCATTTCATTTAGCACCAAAATAGAGACATCCAAATAGTTAATGAATCCATTCAAATATCACGACTAGCTTCTTAACAATATTTAAAAATCAGGCTCGGGTATTTGAAAGACAATACCTATGTCATACCACATATCCACTTCTCAATACATTGTCCAAAAACAGTTTTACAGCTTGACAAGTCAGATATCTGTTCCCATACTTGGAAAGCCTACTCAGTTCTCTTCATCAACAAGAACAACCTCTGGTCCAGCTGAAAATTTTTGCTGACACTCTTGTCTACCCTCATCATCATTAAGAGTCCACCAAATGAAACAAATATCTCTCTGCAAAGTAAATACACATACCACAATGTTAAGTTACATACAATTAAAGAGAAAAAAGTTTACAGAGAATAAGAATATAAAGATAGATCATCTGAAAACCAACCCCTTCTCTTGTCCTTCATAATCAATATCAGTTATGCGATAAGTTCTCCCATGCATGACATAATCGTATCTGTCTGCCAGTGTTTCCCTTGAGGTCTGAAATAAAGGCAAGCTGTTAATTAATCTTCAAGTATAGTAATGGAAGATTAGTAGAAGAACCGAGCTTTTCAATCATACCAAAACAAAAGCATATTTCCTAAATCAATGGCTTTCAGCCCATGGCGAATAAATGGACTGATAGTTTAGTAATAAAAGGGTAATTTCAAGCTAATAACCATATTCCAAAATAAATGCATCAATTACAAGGAATCAGGACTAGTACTACTGCAAATGATAAGTACTGATAACTACAAGCCCTTCATCATCAAAGTTGAAAAACCCATCAACACTCTGCTGCCTAAGGCCCTAAAATTAAAACCTGAATACTAATCTCTAGGAGGACACTTCAGATTGAAAAAACCCACAGACATATTTAACATTACTACTTTAGCATAGAAAAAAAAAGGCTTTACCAGCCTGTCTAAAAAAACACAATATCAGCTAAAATCAGCTCTGTCAGCGGCAAGCACTAAAGCACACGCTAGTAAACACATTTTCACTTCTCACAAGATACGCACCACATCATATCCTACTATGATTCATAATTAGACCAAGTAAATGACATTATTTTCAATTGCCAAAGACATAATAAAACAAAACAAAGTTCACCCTTTTTGTCAAAACAGTTTCCAGTTTATAAATCTGAAGCCAATTCCAAAGATGCTTGTGACTATCTCCAATTTACTCAGGCCTATAAACGGGTAAAGTATGCATGAAATGTGCAACACTCCATCAATAAGAGCAACTCAATTTTCCTCCAACTAAAAGTCTTATCTTCTACAATTACACACTAGTTGAAGTCATTACAAATGCAATGAAGCAATATATCAGTGGCAATTAAAACATATTAGAAAGAACAAGGTGCGGTTGACCAACGCAAGAAGAACAAAGCAATAATAACACGTTACCTGGTTGTAAAACCCAGAGTCAGCAACCCCATCAAGATCAAGAGTGGTTGCTAATCCAATGGTATACCTCTTATCTTTGTTGATACGATACACGTCTATGTTAATATCGAGCAATATGAATGCATCAAACTTGTCACTCTGTGCTTCAATTCGAGAAACTACAAAGGAAAATTTAATTTTTGTTCGGTTCACACTTAATTGAATACCACTTAAAAACTTCATATGAAATAGGAAATTAGGGATGTGCTTCAATTCGAGAAACTACACGCAACAAAAAGCCACTATAAGCAAGCAAAATTAGGTTCACACTCAATTGAACACCACATAAAAAACTACATATGAAATAGAACACTAGGTAAGTAGGCATAAACTTAATGGGTAATTGATTTTAGTTAATCTAAGGTTAACAAAAAAATCAATGAATATGATATGATATAGAAACAGCAATTGAGTAAAAAAGAAAAATTAGGGCTCTAGAACATAAAAAGGAGGTACCTTTGTCGAACTTCTTGCCATCAGGATCAATTTTATGAATATTAAAGATATCCTCGAAGAGAAGCGGCGCCATTGCTAGCTATAACAACAAGAATTAAGAAACCTACACAATAGCTGATATAATTATTGGAGAATAAAGATTAGCACTCAAGAATTTCAGCAAAAAAAAAGAGGTTTTAAGGATTCAAAGCAGTTTCTGGAAAACCCAAATTCAGTGGAAGATGAGAAAGAAATTCTTACCCTTTGTCCGATTATGGAGGGTTTTCCGACTTGTAAATTGTTCTCTTTCTCGAAAATGAATACTGAAGAGAAAACCAAAGTCGCGTCCGGTGGATTCACTTTTTTTTTTTTTTTGGCCCTACAAGGCTACGGCAATGATATGTAGGGATATCAATTGGGCCGTGCGGGGCGGGCGGATGTTGGTCTTCCCATCCTCATCCTCAGTTAAAACTTTCATACTCATCCCTATCTCCATCCCCATGATGGGTCTAAAATTCATCCTCATCCCCGTCCCGGCGGGTACAATTCCAAAATCATCCCCGCCCCAACCCCACTTGGATATCCACCCCCATCTAATCCCCACCTAAGACCCGCCTAATCCCCGTCTCCTAAATACACAATCCTTCATAATTAATAAAGATTGCAAAAAGAAAAAAATTATTGTTAATATTACACATTTTTTTTTATAATATAAGTGTATTACGAAGTATTATATTTACTATTTTATTTTAAATAATTTTTTTTATAAAATAGTATAAAAGTATATAATTTTGTTTTTAAAAATATATGGATGTGGGGATGGGGCGGGTATGAAGTGGGGTGGGTGGGGATGGGGCGGGTACGAAGTGGGGCGGGGCGGGTACAACCTAAAATCCACCCACGCCCCATCATCCATGGCGGGTATGGTTTTTACCCCTATCCCCGCCCCATCACCCGTCAAACCAAGATCCATCCCCGCTCCGTTGAGGCAGGGATGAGGAGGGTCTCCTATTTGACCCGCCCTACTGACATCCCTATTGATATGGTTTATTGGATACTATTCTTTTATCACGGTTGCTAAAGCATAATTTTAACAAATACGAAGTATATATTTATCAACATTCTTCAAAAAAAAAAAAGTACATATTTATCAATATTGTAAAATTATTAAAAGCGAATATCAATAAAATTTATATTACAATGATTCAAACGAAATCCTACATAATTGTATTTTATCGTAGCTTTAAATCCTAAACACTAGTTAGACTATAGTTTGCGAATATCATTACTGTCAAAAGTCAAAATTTGTCAAGAACGGAGGTATTAATTTTGTAAAAGTTAAAAGTTTTGTGAAACATAGAGAGAATTGTATTAAATTGAACATTAACATGCAATAACAGTATAATTGGACAATTAATACTATTATGTGAAACGTAATGTTGTTATTAATTTATTTATTACAAAGTATTAGATTTTTGAGTTAGTGTTACTAAATGCTTCATTCTTATCTAAGTCAAAGACATATTTTGATTGTTAGAGATAGTATCTGTTTTTTAAATTAAAAATTAGTTTTGTCCTTATTAAAACGAGTTAAAAGTCTTTCAATTGTTTGAGTAGAACATTAAGTAATTAATCATATTCATACTATTAATTAGAAGGGGATAACGTACTATATGGGAGAATTAAATCAATTAGTGATTAAAATTATTAATAATGCGGTTATTTGTTTGCCTACGAGAACATATAAGGCTTAGACAGTAATTGAAAGGTGGAAAGAATTGCATGACCTGCCGTTGTTGCTAAATCTATTGCTAATTTTCCTAAGGAATTCCAAACAGTCTATGCTAATGTATGATCATTTATACACCAGGCCCTTAAATGTTTGGTGACTTTATTGGAGGAAGATTATTTCAACAAGGTAAACAATTCAAAAGCAAATATAACTACCATGTATTAATTTCACACATAACAGAAAATTGAACTCGTGATATAAAAGATTAGACTGATGACCAACCAGCAATTTCGCAATTGCACCAAGCTTAAAGAAATGGCTCATCAACTAAGGTTAAAGAAAGAAGAACCAGAATTAGGGATCCAATAACTTTTCTTATCAAATCAGGGCATGCAGTGAAAGGTTTATCTGAGATGGAGTTGAAGGACCTGCCAAAGCAGTACATACAACCTCAATCAGAGAGGCCCTGTAACATGAAGATCATGGAAGAGGCATCGATCCCCATAATCGACGTGTCCAAGTGAAATGACCCAACAGTTGTAAAATCAGTATGTGATGCTGCTGAGAAGTGGGGATTCTTTCAAATCATCAACCATGGGATACCACTTGAAGTACTTGAGAATGTGAAACGAGCAACTCTAGCATTCTTTGCTTTGGCGCCAGAGGACAAGAGGAATTTTTTAAAGGAGAACTCTCCCAACAGTCATGTGAGGTTAGGTACTAGCTTTATACCCGAGGCTGAGAACTCCTTAGAATGGAAGGATTACCTTAGCCTCTTTTATGTCTCTGATGATGCGGCTCTTGCTATTTGCAGGTAACTAACTATTAATAAGCTGCACTATGCAATTACTAATATAATTAATGTTTTGTCATGACTCATGAGAACACTAAATTCAGCAATATAATTATCTTTATTACCTTTAATGTTAAGGGACCAACTTCTGGACTACATGAACAAGTGCCAAGTAGTAATTAAGTTCCTTTTACAAGTCTTGATGAAAGGACTCAACAGCCATGAGATCAATGAGAAAAAATGGTCACTTCTTTCAGGTTCCAAAAGGATTAATCTCAACTTCTACCCAAAGTGTCTAAAACCCGAACTTACAGTAGGAGTAGGGCGACGCTCAGATGTATCCACCTTTACCATCCTCCTGCAGGACGATATTGGTAGACTCTATGTTCAAGCACCTGATGGAGAAAGCTGGGTCCATGTGCCACCTATCTCTGGGGCACTAGTGATTAACATTGGTGATGCGCTGCAAATCATGAGCAATGGCAAGTACAAGAGCATAGAACATCGTGTAATAGCAAATGGAAGTAAAGACAGGGTTTCAATTCCCTTGTTTGTGAACCCAAAGCCTAACGAGGTGATCGGACCTCTAAAGGAAGTTTTGGTACAGAGTGATGAGAAACCCAAGTACCGGAAGGTGTTGTATTCTGATTATACTTTGTACTTCTACAAGAAGGCTCATGATGGCAAGGGAATCCTTGATTATGTTAAGATATGATCTTTCCAGGGATAAGAAGACAACTCAAAACTGAATGAAAAAGAATACAGGATTACTTGTTAAGACCAATAAGCTTGGATACAAATGTAAATTTAATTAAATCTTGATTCTATTGTATTACAGAGTATGTATTTGAACACTAATTGAAGATTAAGTTACAAATGCTTGTATATAGTAATAAGAAAGTATAGTAATAATAAAGATAATGATGCTTGATACAGCCAGATCCTATTCCAATTTTTCCATCCCACTCAGCTTACAGATCAAGTCTTTGCTCAGTATAAATAATCGATGCAAGTGTCGAGATTTAAGCAGCCAGGAGATTTAGGTCATTTATCAGACACATTAAACAAGTGTATGATAAGCCAGCTTTCTTTTATTCAACAATTGCACGATTTTAAATGAACATATATGACATTATTATTTGTTGCAGTAAAGAGCAATAACATGTTGCATTGCTGAACTACTTAATCAAACACTGATTTCCTATACCAGTATACATTTTCCGATTCAACACTTCTCTAGATTTTATGCCATCATGGTGGAGGGACATATGTACTGAAATGCCAAGCAAGCACAGCTCATTGCTTCAAATCCGGCTTCTTACTGATAAATCTTGCCTCACCTGTTCTCTCAAAACTCGCCTCAGTAATTTGTTTGTGACAGTTCGTGGAAATTCCGGAAGAATTTTCACCAAGCTCACCTGCCAGTCAATAATTAGGTGAAAAAGTCTATCAAATTGACAGCAAAAGTTGTGCTATTCTGAAGCTTTCTTAATTTCCATACTCTGTAACTGCATTATCACTATTCAAGGCATAAAGTGAAACAAAATTATTCAAGCAAAGGAGATACCACACCTTAAAAAGAGGATTAAGGCTACGCTGAATGGCTTTTGAGAACTGTATCCTTAGCTTTACTGGATCAGCATTGATTCCGTCCTTTAGAACCACACATACAACCAGCAATTCAGGACCACCTTGTGGTGGAGCAACGCTAACTGCTGCAGTCTCCAGCACCCTGTCATCAGCCTGGTTGCATGCCCTCTCAATTTCAACAGAACTTGTCTGCACCAAACAAAAAAACTTCTTATGTGTATAATGGTTATTTTACAAGCACACCATCGATCATTCTACCCATTACAATACAAGTTCTGTAAGTCCAGAATAAACTCATAAATTTACTGTACCTTGATACCTCCAAGATTCATGGTATCATCAGCCCTGCCCTGTACAACAAAGTACCCTCCAACACTTCTCTTAACAATATCTCCATGTCTCCTGAGGCGCTGCATACATAAAACTCACAAGTCAAGGCTGTAAATGATAAAAAACCAAGGCCAGGCCACGGAGCAATTGGGTCTTGTATGGCTTTGGATTGGTTAGGTTCATCTAGTCCTCTTGTCTTTTTTTTTTTTTTTTTTAGCATATTTAGATTGTTGACAAAACCAAGTCCAGCCTCTCCACAAGTTTTGAACCAAGCGTGAGTTGAGCTTACTGAGTCAAGCCTAAATCTGATAAGCACAGGATAAGCATACCCTCTCACCCCCCCCCCCCCCTCACTCTACTCCCCAGAAAAACAAAAAAATAACATGCAGAAATCATTCAGTTTCAAAAGACAGCACTCATGTGCAACAAGTCTAGTAATAAACCAAGCTTTCACAGGTTAAGATATATTTGGTGTTGCAAAAATAAGAAGAAAAACATATACTTTCTACGAGGATTCATAGCAAAAAAAGAAGGAAAGTTTGAAGCTTTATAAAGTTAAAAATATTTTTTTTTTTTTTTTTTAAAAAAAAAAAAAAAAAAACCATTCATCAAGCACAAAATTTGTATGGCTGACAAGAGCTCAGATTCAGAAAGGGGAAAAAAATATATAAAAGAGAGAGAGAGAAAGGTATCAACTCTGCTTTCTGTACTTTTTGATCTATATCAAGCATTAAAGTTGTTCATTTGTAAACCATGTCGTTGGGTTGGAATCAGAAGATCAATCAGCCATGCCTCAGTTCATGATTAGTGTTTAGATATCTAACCAGCATAAAATTATGCAGTAGTAGGTAGGAAGAAGCATATACCATTCCTTTGTATAGAGGCATTCCCTTGAAATACACCTCATCATGATCAGCATTCAATAATCTGTCTGTTGCTCCTGGAAGCAAAGGAAATAAAGCCACTTCACCTTCACATGATTGATCATCTGGCTGCAAAATGATATATTACATATTATAACTGGTTTTAGCTTGGAATGATAATCAATATAATTTCTGTACAGTACAGATGCACTTTTTTGAAAAAAAGTACTGACAGTGTTAAAATCATCAATGAGTACCTATGTTAGCAATTTATTAGAATTTGTAGATATAATTTTAGCAACAATTCAATCAGGATAAGGATATGCATTTTCCCTAGCAAAGATTGACCTATAGATATTACATAATTAAACTAGAAGATGCTTACATAAGGATTGCCACAATCATCAAGGATCACAAATCCTGTTGACATTGTTGGAGTACTGAATGTCCCAAAGGCTTGCGGTTGCAGCAGACTGCCTTGAACATAACTTCCTGCTAGCTCTGTGCCTCCGCAACATTCAATGACCGGTTTATAATAAGCCCTTGATGAAAGCCAAAGGTCATCATCTACATTGGAGGCTTCTCCAGAGGAAGCAAATGCCCTACACAGGATCACAGACAGTCTTCTTGAGTACAGAATCACCAATTGACGAAATAAAATTATAGAGTTGAATGTGAATACTACCTAACTCTTGTCCAATCTAGGCCATCCATACAATGTGTATTTCTCCAAGTCTTCACAAGACTTGGCACAGTTCCCAATAAAGTAACCCTAGCATCCTGAAGTTAAGCAAGCTTCTGAGTTACACCTCTAATAGCATACTACTATGCATAAACAAGTTTATGCATCCTCCTAAACAATATAGCTCCTCAAGCACCAAAGACCAAAAAGCATTGTTGGTCTGTAAGATTTATTAGTAACAGGTAGAAAGCATAAAAGCCAAACCTGAACAAATTTTCCAAAACCCCGCCCAAGAGGTGATCCATGATACAGAGCAAGAGTTGCGCCGCTCAAAAAGCATCCATAGAGCAATATAGGTCCCACCACCCATCCTAAATTTGTTGGCCAACACATGACATCTCCAACTTGAACATCCGAGTGTGCCCATGAATCAGCAGCAGCTCGGATTGGAGATAGCTGAGTCCAAGGTACTGCCTTTGGATCCCCTATTTCAAAGATTTACCAAGATCACATAGCACAACAGATACACAGGGTAAAGGCAGTTGATAAGTCAAGCCAATCATCATATCACTCACATATAAACATATCCAGAGAATATTAAAGAAAGGGAGGGGGGGGGGGGGGGGGGGGGGGATGGTTTGAAGAGTTTATGGTGCATATTAATGATGATATCTCCTTACCAGTAGTCCCAGATGAGAAGAGTATGTGGGTTATAGAATCCACTGGTTGGTACACTGGGGAGTATTCATGAGGTCTGTGCAAAATGAAATAAAAAATAAGACCAAACCTACAATGAATAATAAGTAAAGGAATAGGCAGAAGAAAATGCACCCCCCCACCCCCCCCCCCCCCCCTCTCTCCTTTTTTTCAAAAAAAAAAAAAAAAAAAAAAAAAAAAAAGGAATAAGAAAGGGCATGTGTGATTGTGATCACATCAAAAGGGAACAATGCACTCAAACCTACCAAATGCCTAGCTAACATAGCAATGGTATGTGTTTCAAATTTAATTACAATTCTGCAGCAAATTCACTATCCTGTTCGTATCCCATCCTATAGCCTTGAATCCACTAGTCCGTATCACAATTAAACAATACTTTGCCACTAACCAGCTTAGACATTTTTTCTTAAAAAAAGTTACAATAATTTGTTTTCAGGTAGATGAGGTAAAACCAGCCAGGAATGTTCTTTCAAGACTAACTTTCATCCTAAAGGTCTGCAATGCATTACACCATTCGCTCCTTACATCTTATATTATTAGTCCAATTACATTTTCTAATTCCCCCTCATCTGTCATCAAGGTGATACTGCTATTCAGTTTAAACCACCAATATAACATTGCAAGAACGAAAAAAAAGCCTTAGTCCCATAATGATTTGGGTTTGGGTAACATGAATCATTTAAGGAATCGGTTCCGTGAAAAGTTAAACAAGATTAGTACAGAGATCCAATGTAGTAGTACTTGTCAATTATATACCAATATATATATATAAACATCTCCTTGATTTGTGTGAATAACCCCTCTAAAGATATGGAGTATCAATTTTGGAATGGAGGGAGTACCTTGTGATCTGGCCCCCTCGTGCTAGAAAATCTTTCCATAATATGTCCTGTTTCCTTAATGACAAATCTACAGATTCCTCCACAGCTGGGACCACAATAGCAATGTATGGAGAAGCTTCCAAAACTCGGCTACAATGGATGAAATAACCATAGTTCATCATATACACAAAAGTTACTTCCAAATAGAGTTGATTACCATGCAAAATCAAGAATTAACACAGAGAAGAGGCATTTACCTATATAAAGGAAATCTTCGACCTCCTCTTAAGATGTAATCCTGATATGAGAGTGGAAACCTTAATCATTGCCAAAAAAACAATAGCACCATATGTATGCAATAGAGAAAACAAGGACAAGGAGTATCCAACAAATTAATTTGACCGAGCATTTTACCAACATAACTCCAGTGTACCTTTCTTCTTAAAAAAAACGAGTTTAAGTTACATCCTGACTTGAACTCGTTCAGTCACTTGTAAGTAAGCGATAAACATATGTTGCCTGCAGCATAAGTAAGAGACTTCACATTAAAGTTTAGCGAAAACTGACCTGAGTAAAGATACCATTAGCTTTGGAAATACGCAAACGAGTAGCGATTTCCTTAGCAGCAAAACTATCAGCAATTGTTACAACAATACGACCTGATAGAATTATTGCCAGATATATGATCACTGCATCTGGAGTCATTTGCATATCAACTGCAATGACATCACCCTTAGCAAAAGTAGCATCCAAAGCATTAGCAACCAACCTGCAAACCATGTTATAAATGTCTCAGTCCCAATAAATAGATAAAAATGAAGAAAACAAAGACGAATTTGGTTATGTATGAGCATACATTACTTGTTCTCTTAGTTGTTTCAAAGTCAATTGCTGAACAGGCAAATGATCAGCTCCTTCAGCTCTCCATACAATAGCCACACTGCTATCCATTTTCCTAGGATGACTTATAGGTAACAAACAACACTCGGCTATATTAAGAACAGCACCGGGAAACCACGTTCCACCGGGTTTCGACTTGTCTGTATCATCAAGGATACGCCTTGGTGGTTGACGAAACCAAATTGAAAGTTCCTTAAGAACCAAGGACCAATAAATCTGAAATATAACATGAAACAAAGTTGCTGATTACTCATTGGAATGCTTAGATTTGATACAGTTTATGTGACTAGTCTAGAAAGAAGTAATAGACCTCAGGATTGTCAACAGTGAACTTTTGAAAGGTGGAAAAACTAGTAACAGGATCCTGGTATGACTTCCCCAAAAGCCTAGGACCATGGACCTCCATCAAACGACCCAAATTTGTATAGCAAGATTCATATCTGCCAAGTTAGTTAAATAGCGTAATCTGAATTAGTAATGCCACAACTAAATCCGAACAACAATAATAATAATACAGAATAAAAAAGAACGTACGGGGAAGGGAACCAGTAAAGAGGAGGACCGAGGACAGAAGAGTCCCAATGAGAGTAGAGCGTGTTGAAGAGCAAGAGATGAAGAGCGTGAGGGTGTTGGGGTTTAAGCAGCTTTCTGGAGACCACTTCACGCCACACCTCAGCCGGAGCACGGCTGACATCAGCAGCAGCAACACTGGAAATTATGTGTTGAAGGGTCTTATAAAAGATGTCAGCTTCTTCAACACTCAACCCAGCGGAAATCAGTTGGTTTCTCTGAATCAAAATCTCCATTATAATCTGTTTCTAAAATTTCTGAGATGAAATAGAGAGAAAGAGAGAGAGAATAGCAGGTGTTGAAGAAGAGGTAGCCACGTGAATAGTTGATAAATTGACCACTGCTTAACGGTGAATGGCTGATTATACACTTTACAAGTTTCAACAACTTATTATCATTATTAAGTACATGGACGGACTACGAGTATTCTATTCTTGGATATAGCAGTAGAGGTAGGTGCCTAGGTGGGGATGACTTTTTAGTTTATTTATGTGCGAAATTAAATGCCTGATATTCGTGATATTGTTAGCTGCCCAATATGGGCTACAGTATATTAAATGTGACTGATAATAAGAAAACACCCCAATATGGGGTGTGATCAGATCAAGCTACCACGGGTTCAACCATGAACCATGAACCATGAACCAAAGCTTGTCATGACTCATGAGGCCTGTTGGTGTTGGATGGAAGTAAATGTCCAAATTAATTAATTAATTACTTGTATGACGTATCCCGGATTTTGCCAACATATTCTTTGTGAAATTCATGGTCAATCCAAAGGCATGTGTTCAGACTAATTATAAATATTGCCTATCAATTTGGAATGAAATAAAAATAAACTAGAGAGTAACTTATATTAGTGTGCCTCCAACACTACCAATAATTCAAAAAAATGGACTAATTTCAAGACTAACCAGAGTGAATTAACCATTTCTCTTCCATGTTCCATCCTAAGTTCAACCCAAATAGGCAAACATGAGTAACAGCATGTTTAATACAAATATAACCAAAGTTGCCACTCCGATTCAGTATTCACAACAATCCAGCTGTGTAATTTGCCCAAGCTTCTTTAAACATTATAACATTAGGCAAACCTTACTGACTCACCTATGTATTCCCCCATGATATAGAAACCTTCGACTGCTTGTTGCTACAATTGTACAAACCTCTAGAATTAACTAACATATTGGACATGCATTTCTTCTTCTATATACGTACAAAGCAAGTAAATTCCAAGATGTCCCAAATCTTTAGTCATTCATTGTTCCTTTTTATTTTGCGAACCGATGCGTCCATTCAGCAGCAAGTTCATCATGCCTTTTCCTATCAACCTGGTATAAGTGTGCAATGGAAGGCACCAGAGCATTGTCTGCAGACAACCTTTAGTCAATATTGTCTCCGGCCAATAAATAGGATGCAAACAGTACAGAGAACAACAGCAAGTGTCAAACATGTTATATCAAACAAAAATATTAGGTTATCTTTTGTAGCTTTGATTGATTATAAAAAAGAAAGTAGTATAGCAGTAGAATGGTGATCTTTGTGTTTTGAGAGTTGTGACCTAAAGTCGCTAGTGGAGACTTGCAGCCTAAAGCTGTCAACTTGTAGAAAAATCATTTGTTTTCAATCAAACCTTCAACCTTTCCTCTTAGTCTTTCTATTTCGGGTTGAATCCATTACACACCTAACTATTTCCCACCCCCACAAATCATTTGTCCCGGGGGGATATGAATCTGTATGATACCTCTATTAATTGTCTCCTAATCAAGCTGAATTCAGACAGCTCTTCAACCACTAGAGACTAGAGTTGACAGTTGACAACACTTGAATAAAGTTGGCCTGGCTCATATTCATAATCAATACTTGACATTAAAACAAAAGAGTAACAGCATAGAAGAAGAAGGGTGAAACAATTCTTAAAGCAGAAGAATGTAGAGTGTAGACAGAAAGTAAAACTTACATGGGTCAGGGGTGAGAAAAATGGATCTAACAGCAAGTAGGACCTGGGAGATTGTTAGGGCTGGACTCCAGCCATCTTTCAAAATGTCCAAATAAACGTTGCCGGAAGAATCAACATTACAGTGATAAATCCTTGTTTTAAACATCACCTACATCAACTAAAATTACAATTAAATTAAGAATACATTTGAAGCAAAGAATAAGCAACCATTAGACAAGTAGAATCGTACCTTGGGAGGTTTGAAAGGGTATTCATTGGGAAACAAAATGTCAAGGAAAAATATACCGCCTTCATATGGAGTCCCTAAAAATGACAGGATGAAATATAAGAACACTAAATGGAATAGAAACATTAGAATGAATGAATTAATACCAGGAGAGCCGAGGAAGGTGGCGAGCCAATGGTTAATGCTGTAGGCGATGGGGCCGGCTGAGGAGAGAGGAGGACAATCCAACTCTTTCAATTCCTTTTGTATTCTCTTTCCTGATCCCGACGTCGTCGACGCCCATAATGTTCTTCCTCCGCTGCTGCTTCCAGTGTTCATCATCACCTTCTCCTCCTCCCTCTCTCTAACCCACCTTTTTTATTACAGATTTTTTTTTGAGGGGGATAAAAATACAGATAAATTGTTTTTTTTTTTTTTTTTTAAGCTACTCCTTAGTGTTGAAAAATTGCTACCTTCTATCAATTTAATACGAGTACAAGTATACAGCAATATAAGATTTTTTATTTTCCTACTAGTGTGTATGTAATGTGAATTTCTAGAGGATTATATTATCGTTATCAATCTTCAAAACACTTAAAGACACCATTATAGCTAATAGCAACTAAACACAACTTAGAACTTAGATTGCTTAATTGTCAAACTAATTGTCTGATATAGCTAATAGCAACTGATAACGACTAACAATAGTTTAGCACATTCCTTGTACACCTACTTCACGATACTCTTAATTAGTAACCAAGTTGTTGGTGTTATGTTAAAGAACAGAAACAATTTGGTAAAAATGAGCGCCTTCAAAACAAAAGGGCTTGTTAAGGTCATTGGACATAGTCATATCGTCGGTAGACATAGTAATACGAAAGGCAGAAAAGCTTGTTCTAAAATTGTTGTAAACCGAACTGCTGTAAACAATAAAACAGAATAATGTTACCGGAATAAGACTGAGTCGCGGACTATGTCGCTCTCTTTAGAATATTCACGGTACTGCCTTTAATGTGTGCAAGCAGCTCGTACAATAACCGGATGCTCCCCAGAATAAAACAGTCTCTCGTAACAAAAAGATATACCGATGGATTTGCACAGAGCCACCAGACAACGAAACACCAAAACTAGGAACAATGCTCGAATAATTTCAGAAAGAGTTTGTGGAAATTATTTTTGAAAAATGTAAACTGTAAAACGTTTTGTGAATTCTGAAAAATAGTTTCTGATTTTTTTGTGTGTAGAAATTCAATGAGGGAGAGCAGCTATTTATATTGGATGGAAGATGAACCTGGACGGTTTTAACCAAGTAATTAACGGGCTTAATTAAGGGCTGAAATCACGTTAAATAACCGTTGCCAAACAGTAAAAAAAAACGAACAGATTTTGAAGGCTGTAACAGCTAAATATTTATTAATGAAATCAGTTACAAAATCAAGGAATTAATCCTTGTTCAAAAAATATAAATCTGTTTAAGAAATCCAATCCAACCCGGCCCGGTTCGGCGCGTGTGTGTGTTAGATTGGTTTGGTAGGTAAGTCCTTCCTCTCCACAAAATGTGGGTAGCCCAAGGGCCACACCCTTTTAGGTGACATACACCTATATAAACCAATCAAGAGTTTCATTTTCCACCAATGTGGAACTTTACCATTTTCACAAATTCACACTTAAAACCATTTTGTTCCAACAATCCCCCTCTTGAATTTTTGAAAATATTTTCGAGCAGAATCCTTACATATATAGGTTGTGCATAAACAGAAGTGTTTTTCAACTTGAACTTCTGCGTAGTAAATACGATTCAGATTTAACAAGGGTAACTCGAAGTTTTGAACCCTATCTCTGACAACGTACCACACACTACCTATTCTCGGTGTTTGTCATAGACCCGTGCTATTACGGCCATGCACGTCTATCCCAGTATAGTGAACGCTCTAGAAATGCTGCCACACATTTCATAGGAAGCGGCCTAACTTCCACATTCACATAGGTGAATCTATCAAGAGTACTCCTGTAGCTAGGTACTCCACTCCAAATGGAGTATAGATTTCATTAAGAGTTCCTATTAACTCATCCTTGATCGCTTCAGGAATTTATGTTATTTAAACATAATCAACTCATATCACTCCATAACTTGTTATTGCCCGTTGAACCTATTTCTTGGGATCTCCAGTCTATAGGTTGGGTTACCATCATGTGTGACTCATTTCAATGGCAATAGTCCCATTTTCTTGGAAGAATTATGGACTTTCTCTCTAGCTAATCCTTTCGTCAAAGGATCAGCCAAATTATTCTCAGTGCGTACATGATCCACTCTCACAGCTCCAATAGCGAGATATTCTCTTACAGTGTTGTGCTTACGGCGTATTTGTCGTCTCTTACCGTTGTAATAACGGTTCTGAACTTTTGCAATATCCGCGGTACTATTGCAATGGATCAAGACAGTCGGTAATGTCTTTTCTCACAAGGGAATCTCGCCTAGCAGGTCTCTTAACCAACCTGCTTCTTCACTAGCTGTAGCTAGTGCTATTATCTCTGACTCCATGGTGGACTGAGCCAAAATAGTCTGTTTCTTAGACTTCCAAGATACAGCTCCACCGGCTATAGAGAAAATATATCCACTAGTAGCCTTAGAGTCATCTGATAAGGTGTTCCAGTCGGCATCACTATAGCCTTCTAGTACAGCTGGAAACCTCTCATAATGTAATCCTAGGTTCATGGTCCTCTTAAGGTATCTCATGACCCTTTCAATAGCATGCCAATGCTCATTACCAGGACAACTAGTAAACCTGCCTAATAATCCCACGACATAGGCAATGTCGGGTCTAGTGCAATCAGTGGCATACCGAAGGCTGCCAATGACGCTCGCATAATCAGATTGCCTAACGGCTTCACCAGTGTTCTTAAATAACTTTACACTGGGGTCATAAGGTGTACTAGCAGGTTTACAGTCAAAGTAACCATATTTCTTTAGGATTTTCTCTATGTAATGAGATTGATCCAAAGAAACTCCATTTTCTGTCCTAGTAATCTTAATTCCAAGGATTAGATTCGCCTCTTCTAGATCTTTCATATCAAACTCAGCATTCAACAATAGCTTTACATTATTCACAGCGTGAATATTCGAGCCAAAAATTAACAAGTCATCCACATACAGACAAATTATAGTGCAAATGTCATTCTCAAGTTTTACATATATGCATTTGTCACTACCATTTATCTTAAAACCATGTGAAATGACTAAGTTATCAAATTTTTCATGCCATTGTTTAGGTGCTTGTTTGAGACCATAAAGAGACTTATCTAATTTACATACCAGATGCTCTTTTCTTGGGATGACAAAGCCCTCTGGTTGATCCATGTAGATTTCTTCTTCCAATTCACCATTCAAGAATGTTGTCTTTACATCCATCTGATGTACTACAAGATTAAAAACAGAAGCAAGAGACATTAGCACTCTAATAGAAGTTATTCTAGTTACAGGTGAATAAGTATGAAAGCAATCAACATTCTCCCTTTGTCTGTAGCCTTTAGCTACCAAACGAGCTTTATACTTATCAACGGTCCCATCAACTTTCAGCTTTCTTTTTAGGACCCATTTGCAGCCAATTGTTTTGCAACCTGGTGGCAACTCAGTTAGGTGCCAAGTTCGATTAGACTCAAGTGAGTCCATTTCATCATTTACGGCTTCTTGCCATAAATCTGCATCAACTGAGGCTAAGGCTTCTTGGAGGGTAGAAGGATCCTCCTCTACATTAAGAACTTCAAAGTTCGGGCCAAAGTCTTTTGCTACTCTAGCTCGTTTTCTCCTTCTTAGTTCGGGTTCAGCATTCAAGTCTTGTGAGTTAGACCTGACTACAGGAATAATAGAAGAGGACGAACCCCCACTATTTCTAGATTTGAAAGGAAACCTGTCCTCATAAAAATCAGCATCATTAGATTCAATAATTACTCGTGCATTTAAATCAAAGAATCTATACTCTTTACTATTAACAGCATAACCAATGAATACACACTCATAAGCTCTACTAGCTAACTTAACTCTTTTAGGATCAGGAATCCTAACATATGCTAGACAACCCCAAGTTCTGAAATAAGAAATGTTAGGTTGTTTGTTACGAAGTAATTCATAAGGAGAAACCTTACTCTTAGTCTTTGGAATACGGTTCAAGACATAACAAACAGTGAGAAGAATTTCTCCCCACCAATGATCAGCAGCACCAGAATTTAAGGAAATAGCAACTACTAACTCAGTAAAAGTTCTATTTTTCCTTTCAGCCTTACCATTCATTTCTGGAGAATAAGGAGCTGACCTTTCATGTATGATACCATGTGAATTATAAAACTCTACAAAAGCATCAGTATCATACTCAGTTCCACGATCACTACGTAACCTTTTTATTTGCTTGTTGAACTGATTCTCAAACTCTGTCACAAACAACTTAAACATATCAAAAGCATCACTCTTATTTTTCATCAAATAAACACGAGTATAATCAGAACAATCATCAATAAAGGTGATGAAATATCGTTGTCCATTTCTGGTCAACGTTCCATTATATTCACAAATATCAGAATGAATTACATCTAACGGTTCTGAGTTTCTAATAACAGACTTATGAGGTGTTTCTGTAATCTTAGCCTGACTACAAAAATCACATTTATCAAAGTCATTGAGAGAAATATTAGGAATAAGGCCTAAATTGCTCATATTTTTATGAGTCTTTTGTTCACATGACAAAGTCTAGCATGCCAAATATTAACAGAAGAAGACAACATATAAGCAGAATCAGAAATTTTATTAATCTCAACATTCAGTTTAAACATGCCATCAGTAGCATATCCTTTTCCTACAAACATTCCATTCTTAGTTAAAGTGAATAAATCAAAACCTATGGTATGTGTAAAACCAGCCTTATTAAGAAGAAAACCAGAAACTAAATTCTTTCGCATTTCCGGGGTGTGCAGTACATCCTTCAGAATGAGAATCCTGCCAGAAGTAAACTTCAACTCAACATTACCTATACCAGCAACATTAGTGGAATGGGAATCACCCAACAGCACTTTCTTATCATCGGTGTTTTCAGTATATGTTTTAAACATCCGACGATCATAGCATACATGGCGTGTAGCGCCAGTGTCTACCCACCACCCTTCTGATCCACCAATAAGGTTGATCTCAGTAATCATAGCCACGAGTGGCTCTTCTATCATGCTAGCCTGTGGTACAGGGTTAGGCATGTTCCTGCACTTTCGCGCCATATATCTTGGTTTTCCACACCTATAGCATATAAATTGACTAGTACCATTCTTAGGGGGTTGAATCTGTTGCTTTCCATTGTTCTTTTGAACATTCGATTTATTTTTGTTGAAGTTATTCTTCCGGTTTTGAGGCTTGAAGTTCTTACCAGCAGGCTTGAGAACTGCAGCAGATCGCTTAGGAGCATTGTTTGCAGTGAGCTGTAAGACTTCTTCTTTCTGGTCCTGTTTTCTGGATTCTTCCTCTATACGGAGCCGAGTGATCAAACTCTCTAAGGAAAATTCCTTAGTCTTGTGCCTGAGACTGTTTTTGAAGTCTTTCCAGGAAGGAGGCAACTTGTCAATAATAACAGCAATTTGAAATTGTTCATCAAGGGCCATACCTTCGGAAATTATCTCATGGGCAATTTTCTGAAGTTTGTGGGACTGCACTTCCACGGACTTATCATCAGTCATCTGAAATTTCAGGTACCTGCTAACAACATACTTTTTGGCACCGGCTTCTTCAGTTCATATTTCTTTTGCAGGGCATCCCACAAATCCTTAGCAGTGTTTTCCAGATTATAATAGTCATACAGGTTATCAGACACATTAAGAATATAATTTTTGCACATGAAATCAGTTTCATTCCAGGTTTCGATTTCACTATTCCAATACACTAGGTCATCTTGTTCAGCATTATCAGGAATAACAGGCCTAGGGACAGTCAAGGCAGAATGCACTTTCTTAACAGTGAGGAAAAATTGCATTTTTTGTTTCCACCTTTTAAAATGAGCGCCTTCAAAACAGAAGGGCTTGTTAAGGTCATTGGCATAGTCATATCGTCGGTAGACATAGTAATACGAAAGGCAGAAAAGCTTGTTCTAAAATTGTTGTAAACCGAACTGCTGTAAACAATAAAACATAATAATGTTACCGGAATAAGACTGAGTCGCGGACTATGTCGCTCTCTTTAGAACATTCACGGTACTGCCTTTAATGTGTGCAAGCAGCTCGTACAATAACCGGATGCTCCCCAGAATAAAACAGTCTCTCGTAACAAAAAGATATACCGATGGATTTGCACAGAGCCACCGGACGACGAAACACCAAAACTAGGAACAATGCTCGAATAATTTCAGAAAGAGTTTGTGGAAATTATTTTTGAAAAATGTAAACTGTAAAACGTTTTGTGAATTCTGAAAAATAGTTTCTGATTTTTTTGTGTGTAGATATTCAGTGAGGGAGAGCAGCTATTTATATTGGATGGAAGATGAACCTGGACGGTTTTAACCAAGTAATTAACGGGCTTAATTAAGGGTTGAAATCACGTTAAATAACCGTTGCCAAACAGTAAAAAAAAACGGACAGATTTTGAAGGCTGTAACAACTAAATATTTATTAATGAAATCAGTTACAAAATCAAGGAATTAATCCTTGTTCAAAAAATATAAATCTGTTTAAGAAATCCAATCCAATCCAACCCGGCCCGATTCGGCGCGTGTGTGTGTTAGATTGGTTTGTTAGGTAAGTCCTTCCTCTCCATAAAATGTGGGTAGCCCAAGGGCCACACCCTTTTAGGTGACATACACCTATATAAACCAAGCAAGAGTTTCATTTTCCACCAATGTGGAACTTTACCATTTTCACAAATTCACACTTAAAACCACTTTGTTCCAACAACTACTCCCTTTATCCAAAATTACACTTTACAATTTTCTTTTCCATCCATCACAAATACTCTTTAATCATAATCCAATGGCAAAATGTATTATCGAAGAACATCTTGTTAGAACCGATCAGGATCAAAATCATAGTGTATATATCATTAAATAAGCGGTTAGGTTAGTTCGTAGGCCAAACTTAGAATTTGTAGTAGCATAACTCACAAAATAGAGTTGTTGACAAAAGAAAGTTGATATATGTAAGGGCAAAAAATTGCATTTGATTACAGACAAGTGGAATACCTGGACTCAATACAAAATAACATTAACACTGACATAACACTGGTGATCAATTCCTATGGATGTCACTAACAAAGCAATCTATCTCATCAGTATTGTATTGGGTACAAAAATTCAATCAACAATTCGCATATCAAAGCCAAAACCAATGCAAAAAGATTCCAACTATTACTCCAATTTCAGGATATAACATGCTGCTCCTACTCCCCGTGAGAGGACTCACTGGACCAAATGCCGTGGGACTGAATCCTCTCCCAGCAGTTGAATTCGCACTGTTGCATACAAGGGAAAGTCGGTATCAGGAACCATATAACAAGGAGATTTCAGTTCAATTTGATGATCAAAAACAGATATAGTAAAATTGTAAAACTTTACCTCCCAGTGAAACCACATGAACCATAACCTGTGAGATTAAGCATGCCAAGAGAACCATCAGATGTATGAATAAGCTTATCATGATGTGTATATATATGGAGCTACCGTTCTACATAATACAAACAAAAGATAGGTCTGAACTTTAAAGTCATGTTAATTTTGAAGGGGGAGAAAAAACCATCTATTTGATCAAGCAAAATTATATAAGCAAAAGCAAATGGTATGACATAAAACTTATAACATTAACTAACGGAGAAGTTTACTACATTTTCATACAACCCCTACATGCTCAGCTACACAAGCATAACATCAATGATGTACTTGTACTAATATAAATGGAGTATTATCTATCAGGTAGGATATTCTCCGCCAGTATTTTGTAAGAATAACCAAATGGCAATACATATATCCATTGATAACACATGCAAGAGCTTAGGAAAGAAAGTCCATGGTAAGTCTCTTCACAATCACGACTTAAACACAGCAGGAAAAAAAAAATGACGCCATAAAACATCTTGCATACCATATGACATATAAACAATATAGAGCTAATATGACATAAAACTATTCAAAGATCCATCAATAAGGTTAAGAAACATGAACAAGGGCATAGTAACTTACTAGGATCGGCAGTAGACGTAGTTGCTGTACCATCAAAATCACAAGTTCCGCCAACACTATGCATCCTTTGATAATAATCATTATATGCGTAAGAGGCATGGTTTTCTATAGTATCAGGGTAGTAACACGGCTGGCCTTCCTGAATGGCTGTACAGTTCGCATGACCTTCACCACAAGCCCAGTTCAAACCCTTCCGCAGCTTGTCTTCATCGGCACCTGACTTTGCAATACAGAATGAACCTGTGGAATTGCCTGGCATTTGACCAGAAGCACTAAGACTAACAGGATATACAGAGGAGCCATTTGTGAAGAACAACCCCCAATTTTTCTCAGAGATAGGACCACGACGCTCATCCTCATTGAACAACTCATAAATGTATGTATTTATTGGCATAGTTGGCTGACTAGGTGGACCTGAGTCATTCATCACCCTTCTGATCAAATTATTAGTGTATGTCTGAGCATTTTTTACGGTGGCATCTTTTTCATTAGCTCCTCCATTCCATGGCCAACCGGTTTCGGTCACCACTACTGAGACCCCAGAAAAATTGAATGCGTCAATCGAATAATAAGCAGCATCCACCATGGCATCAAACATGCTATCATAATGATACAGTGTGTTTGGATCAACAATCTGCTTGACTGAGGACAGAGGTTGAAAAAGAGTATACTCAAGCGGGAAAATGCCATCTCCTTTGGTAAACCCGTAATAAGGATATGCATTTAGCATGAAATAAGAGTTGGTATTCTTTAAGAACTGAAGTACTTGGTACATAGTGGAGTTCCATGATGAATTAAAGATAGCAGTTGAAGGAGGAAAAGGCCTAGAAATTATGTCCATGGAGTGGGGGGTGGAGACTTTGACCTTGAAATTTAAGTTGGATGCAACAATAGCTTTATGAATGTTATTCATTGCAGGAACAAGAATTGGAGCAGCATGCGGTATTGTAGTCAAAACCTCACTACCAACAGCAATTGCAGTGATATTGGTGTTAGGAACATGAGCTGCCACATTTTTATTTACCCATGCTGCAGCAACAGATGGTGATTGCCCAATCCCTAGAAGTTCCTCATTTGTGACACCAACCATTACTTCTATGCTCGTATTGGCAAGGGCATTGAGCATGAGAGAATCAGCATCAAAAAGCCGAACATGAGTAATCTCATTGGCTTTAAGAATTGCAACCACTTCTGATGCAGGGGGCAATTTAGATAAATGTGTTCCTATATCTATCCCAATGAACGCACCTATAAAAGTACCAATCAAGTATGATTGTATGAATAACATTCACAGTAAGTATATTAAAACAATGAAAAAAAAAGGGAAGCACTTGACTTGACCATCTGAAAATGAACCATACCTAAAATACAAGGAAGAAAGCCGATTAATAGCACCAGGACTCTTTGCAGCCATTTTTCAGGCATCATTCAGCCTAGGTAAGCTTAAATTTTCACAATGCGCGGCTAAGTTAAACTGCTCAAGGGGTGAGTTATCACGTACAGAGCTGTAAAGATATCAAAAGTAAGCACATAGTATAAGCAATCAACCAAGCTTAGAATGTATTAGCAAAAGTAGCAACAATCGTACATAAATGCATAACTACTGACACATAAAAAGAAATTAACTGCAAACAACTAAACAGATGTATAGAAACACAGCATCCTACTTGAACATTATACCCTAAATCAGCTTAAATTCTAGAAACAATCAGTTTTTCCTGTTTTGACTTATTTGCTGAGACAATCGTCGTTCGAACAAGAACTTAGAGAGTGGAGAGAGTATGATATAAAATTAGTAACAGTAGAGTAATTAAATCAATTGAAAATGAAAAGGCAACACAATGCAATCAGTAATGAGCTAATGATGGCATCAAATTAAAAACTTAATTTAATTCGATGGAACCAATTGATTAAACATGTTAGGTATATCCACAGTTTAACGAATTAGAATAATACAATAAATAAATAAAAGGAGAAAATTTTGAGAAAAAATAATACCTGAAAATGAAAGTAGAAGAAAACCAGCAAAATCAGTGACGTTTAAGCAACCATAAACCCTGAAGAAGAAGAAATTCAACAATGATTGAAAGAAAAGTGATGAGAGAGAATTATAGAAGAAATTCAAAAAGATAGTGTGAAAACTGAAAAGGCCCACTTAAACTTAATAACAATAATACTACGGAGTAATAATAATGTGAACCCAGAAATACAACCAAATTGCTAAAAATAGTACAGTACTCCGTACTCCGTAGTATTAATTGAAGTACAATCTAAAGATTGATACTTTCTTTCTTATTAAGCTGCATACTTACAGAGTACTTACTTATAACGGTAACTCCTCTTCTTCTCCCTATTTATCTATCAATTCAACTTCTAAAATAGCAGAAGAGTTTTGGAAAAAATGTAGAAGATAATTAATGAAGAAGAGGAGAGAGAAAGAAACCTGAAGAGAGAGAAGCACAGTGCTCGAAGATGAATTTAGTGAGTGAGTGGTAAAACAACGGACACAGCTATGCTTCAGTTGTTCAAAGCAGAAAGTTCTACCAGCGTGTACATTTCTGTCCCCCCTTTTCTGCTATTAATCCTATGCTTATGTCTTCTTCCTTTTTTCAAAGTCCTAATAATGTGAACACTCTCTAATACAGTCTAACGTAAAAATAAGACTCCGCTTGTTTTAACGAGAAACATACTCCCGAATTAAAAACGAAGCCTAATACAAGTACAAGTGAAATATGAATACACAACTAGAAAGAAACAGGGTATTACTGCAATGGGGACCATCACCTGTGACCTCTGATGAGAATTAGTAGCATATAATAGCCAAAAAGAGAAGTGAATATTGTCCAGAAATGGAATGAGTGGTAAATCTAGGGCAGGAGCATAGATATTACCGCCCTCTCTTATTTCTTTAGCTTGGAAGATGAAAAGATACGAAACGGTAACTATATTAAATGCTGTTGCTGTGTAAGTTGGTTGGCTGGTTATTACTGGTAAATGGTAATATAAACATAGTTCCATGTTAAATGATCTCGGGTATGACCAAATGTACATGCTTCCATGAGTTGTAGATTGCAGAATCTAAGGACAATGCCAAATGCCACTCCCTTCTTGTGTTTGTCCCTAGAATATAAAATAATACAGATATGTCGTATTCAATATTCATATTGCTCGTCTTCAACTTGTTTCATTCTTTTATACTACCAAGTATTAACTTGATGCAAAGTTGTACATAAACTCATTACCCATACATATTACCGATTAAACAAAATAGGGATATCAATAAAATGAACTTTCGAATAGTTTCTTACTTGGTGTATCTGCTGAACTATTGATTTACAATAATAAGGGCTCACTTCTAGCACCTTCACTCTCCTCATACAGTCGATACAGATTGTATGAACTCTAAAAGATTTTCTCAACAATACACGTAAGATTTATTACATTATTATTATTATTATAATAATTATCTATGACAGTAACATTATGGAGAAGCTGCCCTTTAAAAGTTGAAGACTAGGGGTAACTAAAGTAGGCCAAAAATAAAGAAAAGCATTAGCATTATCCGACAAAAGGTCCAGCACAAAAGATGAAAAAAAACACATGGGGGAAGCAGAAAAAAAAGAGTGAATCTTCTTCTGTGCTCACACACAATCCTCAAAAGTTGATTTCTTTTTACCATCTAAGTCATTTAATAGCCATTAATCTAGCAATTTATGATACCATTATGTACTGCAAATTGCCAAATACATTCCTGGGATGACGGGTTTGTAGAAATATCGGTGTGTGGTACTAAGCTACAATAGGTAATGATATAAACAGAATCCAATCCTATACTTTGTACATATTTCCCCCACAAAAAAAAAAATCAGGAATTAAATCTACTCGTAATTGAGATCTTACTTAAATATCAGGTGATTATCCATTAGTAGAAGATACTAGTCATCCCAAAAAGTCAACAGTCTTCCAAGTAAAAAGAGTTAGGGCCCACCTGCTTCACCTCTGTTAGCTGGGGCGCATAGCATACCATCTTCAAAGCAGTCAAAAGGTGACAGTTAGACCAATAATTTCGAATCCAATCTAAAATCACAACTCCTTACCTCTAACCATTTCTTAGATTTCCATATTCTAACTTCAAATTTTCAATTCTTAGGTTTCAAACCTCACCCATTACAATACCATTAAAGCAAATTCAGTAAAGCCAGATAGCATCATATGTTTAGCCCAATAAACAGAGCATAAGAAACCTACAATCCCCGGTCTATGGGATGATCGTCATATGTTTAAAATTTGGGAGGCATTACTACTACTACGACTAGTGAACTACAGCATCACTTCTAAGTTCAGATAGTTGCCCAAAACAGATATCGATTAGATTGGCAACACAGGAAGTACCATCAAATAAGAAGCCTACTGACTAGGTGATCTCTCTCTGTTCTGCTCCTTGGGATGGTCTTCAGGATATGGGCTCCTGCTTTTGTCTCGGCTTGGACTCCTAACAGGAGTTCGGCTCCTGCTTCGACTTTTAGCAACTTTAGGAGATTGTGGTGAACGAGAATACGATCTGCCACGACTCTCTCGAGAATAAGACCTTTCCCGACTCAGCTTTCCATCTTTGGGTGAAACAAACCTGTCACAAAGATGCTGCCACTTCAATGCCCATTACCAGAAACATAAATCAAACACATAAAAGCTACTGAGAAAACTCGCAATTTCAGACACATGCATGTATGATGGGAATGTCAATTGAAGCACAATTTATTGAAATGCATGGAAGGAAAGTCAATAAAAGGGTGATCGAGTCCACAAGCTTATCTACATTGAAAGATCATCCACTGATATTATGTGTGCTTACATGTCCATACTTGGTGCTTACTATACAAATCCAAAAACAACCACCGCCCAACTCTTGCTGCACACAAGGTCTTTCTCCAACTACCCTTAACGAAAAACATTTCATCTTACATTCAACTTGTGGAAATCCACCTCACCAAAGTATGTTCCTTTTAGTCCAATATTATGCCCTTGGTATGATTACATGAATCATTATGATTGGATTGGAGATAATTAATAAGGGGTAAAGGAATGAAGCGGATAAGTTGTGCATGAGGAGTGACCAAGCATATAAAATGATGAGGAGTGAGACATCTACTTCCATCAAGCAATTAAGCAAGCACCATATCTACTTCCAACTTGTTCTATACCGTATGACCCCTTAAATAATGCCCCCTAATCCAAGCATAACCTAAACTTCAAGTCTCCACTATGATATGGTTTCACCATACAGCCAATTTCAGCAACAAGGGAGTTACAGTTATGACCAAGGATGTAAAGTGATTGATGCTTCACAAATAACAGCTACAAACAACCCCCAGCTGAATACTAAATACACACAACCCCATCAGAACAGAACGGGAAAATAATGGTCAAACTATAGTAACAGATAGGAAAAGGAAAAAATGCAAAAATTCTACGCGCATATAAAAACTGCATAGCATAAAGTAAAACCCATGACATAACATACCTTGAGTGTCTTCGTTTGGGAGAAGGTGAATAGTCATCACGACTGTGAGATCTAGACCTGGCACGACGTGTAGGAGGAGAACGAGAATACCGCGGTGAGCGGGAATAACGAGGAGGAGAACGTCTTCTGTCATGCCGACTGCTATAAGGATGAGGAGTGAGATAGTTAGAACTCCCACAAAGGACAATAATGTAACAAGATGCACATAAAATCATTAGCAATAATAACTATAAAACTCATATTATAGATGTAATAAAAATTTAAGCAAATAGAGAGAATAAAAGTAAAGAGAGCTGGGTTGCAAAAAGGAAAAGGGTTGATGTTATGGTAACAATAGTGTAAAGAAATGTAATTTAAGAAATCCAGGACAAAGATGTGAACAGATCATAACAACAAATAATATACATAGAAGTGGGGGCCTTGTGGAGGCAGTGTGGAAGAAAGGAGGATGAGAAAGGAGGGAGAGTGAAAATTATCAAACTGAACTGAGTAATAACACAATATTGATTCAAACTTGACTTCATCACACAGATTCTAAAAAAAATCCATCTGCATAGCTTTGGAACTGAAGCTAGAAATGAGAGCCTTTCTTTTTAATTTTTTTAAGATAAGAAAACCAAGTAAAGGGTACAATAAAAGCCACCATCTTATCAATCTTTCAGGTGAATACATTAACTTTGGGAGACAGAATACAAAGTATTAGAAAAAAGAGCACCATGAAAACCCTAGACAAGCTAAAAAGACATTGTTAGAGCCCCTAAAAGAAGCAGACAACTATGAAAAAGCTCCCAGACAAGTAAAAGGAGATCCCCAAAGAGCCAAAACCACCCTATAAATATATGGAATGGGATAACTAAAAAAGACGGCCCTAATGAGAATATTACTTCCAGAAGGCAGGAGCTATGCCAACTTCCCTATGAGCCAAAACCACCTTATAAATGTAATGGTAAAATCAGGCCAAGGCATCAGCATAAACAATAACCACAGGGATCAATTTTTTTTATGGCTTACAACCATAGTCAGCAGGAACTCCAAAAAATGGAGCTGGGGGCAACAGCTTGTGAGTCGGGAACTACGAGGACGGGCAGTAAAGATGTTAAATAACCTACTATGTGAGTGAGGGGGCCCGCAAAGGCCATATAAACTCCTTAAATCAAACTGAAAAAGACCAATTAATTCAAAAGCAAAGAAGAAGATATCAAAGAGAGGGCTAAATGTGAAATATAATACTACCTCCATTTTTTTTAGTTGACACGTTTTGACTTTGTGCACTATTTACATAACCTACTTTGACTTCATTTTGTGATTTAGTGTTAGATAAATGCATGGTCATGTGGAATATTGTTAGATTCATCTCAATGTCTATTTTCCAAATATCAAAATTTCATAATTTTTGCTAATACGGAACTAAAGAAATTTACATTTAAAAATATGCGTTAGCAAACGTGCCTAAATGAAAAGTGTCCACTAATAATAAAGAGGTAGTATGAGAATAATGAGAGGTGGTGTGGCGGCTGAGGAAATTTTTTAAAGGTTTTCACTTCTAGAAAGAGATAGAAGCAACTCTATCTAGAAAAGCTTCTTTTTCATACAAGACATACAATGTGCTGTATGTAAGACCACATTACAAACACGCAAAAAACTGACAGGTATCATCAGATGCGGACAACATAGAAGTCAAAATGTAACTTGTATTTCTTTAACTTATCTAAGACGTGAAAATTAAAAACCTCATGAAGCCTAAGATTGTTCTGATTCAAAATTTTATTCATGCTAAGAATATTTCTAAGCTGTAATAATCACACAAAAAGTTTTGAATGATACTCAAATAGCAGCCTTTTAGGTTTCAAACAATGTAGAATAACTATCAATTAACACAAAAATAAAACCAAAAATAGATAAAATTATCATCGGCATGCCTGCTTCAAAACAAAATTTGTAGAAAAATGAGCTAGACAGTAAATATAGATAAGGATAATCAAGTCTAAAAATCATAAAACACTCTTGGAAAGTTTCATGGATAATTTATGCTCACATTTCCATGTTTTTTCATCTAAATAATTATGGAAAAAAATCCCTCCCCTATCCCCCAACAAGTTACATCCTGACTACTTCTGCAAGTACCTCCACAACCTCCGCTTAGTCAGATGGAAGGGAAATTGCCTATGCAGCACTCTAGCAGACCATAAGAGAAGGAAGGATAAGATCCCTGATGTCCTCCACAACTCAAGCCCCAATCTTTTTCCTCTATCAAGTCCCTTGCACTAATCCTTCTTCTCCCTCCTCTCCTCTTGGAAAATCAAGCTTTGTGTTTCTTAAATAAAATCTTTAGGATCCTTAAGGAAATTAACTCGTGATCATAGTTATACAGCCACTTTTCTGTCTGTGTTTTCAAAAAAATGCCCCCCAAATCCCCCTCCAGTCCCCAACCCTCATAGTACTATGGTATTATTGAGATCAAATGATTAGCAATAAAAAATATAAAAATAAAATAAAAAGCTTGTTGCGAAGGTCCATCATGCTTCACATCACAATGCTCATATGATAAGTACATGGCCAGAAGAATGATACAAGAGAATGAAAAGACCATGATTTACCTTGTCCGCTCCCTTACTCTCATCTCAGTTGGCTTCTTCCTGTTCTCCTCAGCAAACACAACTGTCAATTCACGACCTTGAAAAATCTGGCCATCCATCCGATGCTTAGCATCAGCAGCATCTGCTGGGTCCAC